GTAAGTTACTTTTTCATGATTTATTGATTTGAAATAATTATATTTTACAGATTGGCAAAATTTGACACATACAAATTAATGAGAACAGGAGAATTTTTAGTTATTATTTGTAGAAAATTAACTGTAAAATTATATAAAAATTTTTCTTTAAATTTTAATAATTATAAATTTATAAATGTCTAAATAAAAATTTTAAATAAATAATTTTTAAAGCATATTTTCATATTTTTAGTGCATATTATAGCGCATATTTTACATTTTTTCGGTGCATATAATAGCGCATATTTCATGATTTATTAGTGCTATAAGTCTCGAGCCCTGCTCATTACAATTCAGCACTATTCGGTAGACGCAATAATATTGGGTTATCAATAATGCGATAATTCTGTGTTACGTGTAGTCAATTCAAAAGTTCATATGAAGGATGATTGTTAGGATAATTCAAATGAAGATATTCAAACTAAGTTAAACTGTTTTATTGAAATGTTCTAAGTGTAAGTATTTATTAAATTTGACAAATATACTGGCGTGAAGGTGCTTGCTAAGATCGGACTAAAACACATCTGACTATTGGTCTTTTCGGAACTATCTTATGTACCCCGTTTATCGTAGTTGATCCGGACCCAGGGATGTATTTAGGGGGAGGCGAGCGACTACTATCACCCCGGGTGACACATTTTTTTGGAATTAAAGGGTAGCAGCATTTTTTTGCAACGATAATCCATCATCTATTTTCATTCATCAATCGAAAAATGTTAATGCTTTAAGATTTTGCAAAGTGACTTATGGCGATTTCTATTATCATGATAATATTATCAAAAATTGATCACATAAGATTCATAGATAATAAATATTACCTTTCTTGAAAATTGTATAAAACATGTGTAGGGGTGGTAATAAAACTGTACCTGGGGCGTCAAAACTCTAAATACGTCTCTGACCGGACCTAGTAAATGTTAATCAAATGGTCCTATGCGATTCACCTGGCATTTAGATAAACATGTCTAGTACATGTCATGTAGACACTGTTTATTTTGGATTTTACCAGAAACCATTTTAAATACCTATTTTAATAATCAATGACGACCTTTTTAATAAAACATTTAAACAATATCATTTATGAACCAAGAACAATGATTGATCAAAAAACTAACGAGCCTCACCAAACGGACCATGGCAGTTAGAGATTTATAAACCTCCAATTACTTTCACTCAGCATTAGAGGGAATACAGAAACTTAATCATTTGCGAATAGTTTCCTTGTTATAATATTGAGTGACGCGGACCCGTGCAGCAGCCGTTACAAAACGGCCGTCACCGACCGTGCCCTTATCTCTCTCATCAACCACCAGTCCGTGGCACGGATCGTCGCCGTGACACCCCGTTACCCCATCTATTACCGGACAGGGGACGCGAGCGGTCGCGACGACGTCCGCTAGGTACCACCATCGGAACCGTGCTGTTCTTCTGAGACCGTGTACGGAGACACATCTAATCTATTTTCTCAATCTTTTTCTTTATCAATCATATGTTACTTTGATCACACTGGTACTCGTTAATTTTTTAATTATTATTAAATTAGTATGATAATCAAAATTTTATTTCAAAAATCAATATTTTCACCTGATCTTTATTTTATTTTTTTTTTTTTAATCTCACGTGCGTTTCGACTCATGAGTTTACCAATACGATTAGGAACAAATATACACTCGCACGCGCAAAAATACGCCACACACATGCACACACACACACACACACAGGCCAGAACTGGCTGCTCTTATGGGGCGGTTACGAAAATATTTAAGGGCGCCTTAATTTTTGTTATTTAATCCTTCAGGTTACCTATGGCCCAATAGATTACAGATTAAAGAATCATAATTTAGGTTTAACGCTTGTCTTCACAAAAATATAAACGTTTTTCAATGACGTATTATTAAAGACCATGGGGTTATTACTTGTTAATGAGAAACAATGGATATCTTTCCAAAATCTTAATGTAGCGATAATTTTTATGGGTGCATCATACATCGTAATTTTCATGGGCACGTCGTGCATCTGCCCGGTTGCCCGGTGGGCCAGTACGGGCCTGCACACACACATACATATAGCACTTTTCACTCGTTTACTTCAACCGATATCGAATTTTGTTACTGAGAAAATCACTCGGAACTAAACGATTGTATGAGCAATAATCAAGCATTTTTCACTCGATTATTTTAACTGATTTCGATACCCAGAGAATCGCTCGATTATTTCCGAAAACAATCGAAAAAAAACGTTCACATGGAACAATCGAGTATTTCGAATAAATAAATCTAGTTTATGCATAATATATCTTATATATAATATTGATATTATGACCCACATATTAAAATAAATTTTACACAATAAAAAATGATTTGATTTAAATATGTTTATACATTTAGTTTTAATTGAGATAGAACAGTGGGGTCAGCAACTAATGTCTCTTTTATGTGGCCGTAAATTTCAAAAATAGCAAATGTCATTGAATATCATATAAATTTTTTATATTGTCTGACCCTAGAACCATTTTTAATTTGTGAATGTGGCCCAAAGATCCATAAAGGTTGCCGACCACTGAATTAGAAAATATTGTTTTTAATAAAATAATTGCTTACCGGTAATAATTTACTTGAAGTCAACAAAAAGGTTGAAAACTAGTAACACACTTGTTATTGACTGAACGTCAAAACTTCAATATTTTTAAATAAAAGTCCAATAAATCTTATAAAATCATTATTATCGAAAAACCATTTTGTTATCGCATATCTTGCACGACCTTGTCTACTAATACCAACATTTTCTTTTGGTTAAATGTTGTTTGAACTAACGCGAACGGTACGTCATATGATTCAGTGACATGGCGATATGGGTAATCGAGAAGCGGCCGCCTCGCAGTTTTTTTTTTTTTGGGGTGGGAGGGCAAGGTCGTATCTAAAAATTTTTTTCCGGAGGGGTCCAAAAAATGTATATTGTAATTTTATTGAAATAAGATTTTAACTTTTGATGTTTGGTTAAAAATAAGACTGAACAAGATTTAATCTTCTTTTATTAAAATTAATATCGTATTTTCATATATGATATAAAATTTAAAGCAGTCAATGATTAATTGAAGCTTAAGACATTTTTGACTAAAAATATTTATGTTGGTATTGAAATAAATAAGTATTTTAAACATTTTTTTAAAATATTGAAGAAATTTCGTGAGGGGAGGGGGGTCCAGACACCCTAGACCCCCCTAGATACGACCATGTTGATAGGTGTTAAAAAATGTACTTGCTTCTGAAAATTGTTGAATTCGCCACGCCACTAATATGATTAACATATTATACACATCTTTTGTATTCAAATTTCCTACAATTTTTCTATTTATAAATATTATGATGAAATCATTGTTATCAATCGACCTATCGCGACATTAAATATGTTCAATTTTCAAACTCCGAGTTATCTAATCCTGTGTCACCGCATCCATTAGTAATGTCATGTTACAAGGCGATATTTTTTATTTTATTTTAAGAATAGAAGATAGACGCATTAAATTGAAAACAAAAAAATCTAAGTTATTTTATTTAACAAAAATTACAGCAACCCATGGGGACATGCCCGGTGCCCTAGTCTAACCCTGTCCACGGCTAAATACCGCTTTACTACCTATATATTATTATACAAAATCATTCATTTTCTTACATTATGTTAGATAAGCGAAAATTTTAAATTTAAATTTAAAAAAAAAAATTATATAGTAATAGCCATATAACCTGTTTTGTACTTATTTTAAAACAAGGTATGTTAAATATCACAGGGGGCACTACCTCTTCTTATTTATTCCAGGGGGGAAATTGCCTTCTCTTACCCCCCCCCCTCCAGTTTACGCCAATGGTTATGTAAGTAAGTATATATAAATATATGTATATTACCGTTAATAATAATATTTAGACATTATTAAAAAAAGTTTAATCTATGTTGACTGTCTTTACAAGTATTGATATTATTGGCTAATCTTTTTAGGCTATATTTACAAAGGAATTCCCAGCTAAAACAGTCAATGATACAATTATAGTAATAGGAATGTATTATTTTTACAATAAGCCAGCCATAATCGTTATTAATGATAGTCAATGATAACATAACAGGGCTATGATAAGGTATCTAATTAATGAATTTTGACATGTTGTGTTTTTACTATTTTTTATTATTATATTATATTAATTTAATATTTAATAAAATTTATTGAAATTTAATTTTTTTAATATTATTTTAATTTAATTTATTTAATATCATTAAATATTTTCTCTTTTTAGGTCAATTTCATTTATGTTTACATATTATTTTACTTATTGTATTAATGTTTAACATTATATATAGCTTGAATAGAAAATTATGATAGTAAAAGGATTACCAATTGTAGTGTTTAAAGAAATAAATATTAATAAAAATAATTACTTCAAGTTATGTACAAAACAGAAAAAAGTTGTTTGTCAGAAAAAAAAAGAAAAATATTGAGAATATTAAAAAAATTGCACAATATACAGTGACATATAGGCTTATTGAAAAATTAGTTGTTTCCTGGTAGGTTCTTGTTTGTTCTTATTCAAAGCACTCTTTGGTCTTATCAATTAATAATTCAAATTTCATAAATAATACTATGAATACATATTTAATATCAAACAATAGTTTAATATTGAATTAAAAATAATGAAATTAATTATACACAAATCTGGTTGTGTGAGTTTAATTTATTTATTAACTAAAACTTATTATTTAGTATGATAATAAAAATACATATACATTTTATAAATTAAATCTTTGTTAAACTTAATTTTAATTATGCAATCTGTAAAATAGAACAGCCATATACAACGCTATCAATTTCTTTACTAATGTCATTTGAATCAAATATAAAATATATTATTTCAGCTAATTAATATTAGGAAATAATATAATATAGAATACTTAGTCAGAATTAAAATAAAAATATATTAATAATAATTTTGAGAAAGACAAAACACTTTTAGCAATGTAAAAAACTTATGTATACAATAAATACAATTAATTCAAGATTTTAACTCTTATATAACTTAACATTTCTAAAACAATATATTTTAATAATATTACATTAAATTATTCTAATTGCTTCAATATACTCTTTACAGACTTGTGATTTGAGATTTGAAGCTGTTGACTGGATTGAACATTGGCACTCGACATTGTACTGCAGATATTTTCTTTTTTTTCCACATTCTAGAAATAAAATAACTTTAATTACCTAAATTGACTAAAAATTATGAAAATACATTTGTATTATTATTTTTTAATTGTTATTTTTAAACACTTTAATAAGAAAAAAATATTACAAAAGAAACCTAATTATTTATGTATTGTTTTCAACTTAAAAGCAGTAGATTGTTTTATAAATAAAAGAAAAAATACAATTTTTAGATTTGATTTTATTTCATTGTTCTAACCCTATTGCAATTATAAATTTTGCTTACTAAATTCATAAAAATAATGATATAGAACAAAAATAAAAAATATAAACTATGCATAATGATTTAAGGTATGACATAGTTACAATATATATTAAAGGTAGGTTGAATAAAGACTAGTCAGTCAATTTATATGTTAAAGTTATCAAATAAAAATTGAATCTCTAATTTATAAATCCAGAAGCTAATAGAATTATTAATACAAATACTCAATTTTTTGTAATGGACTGAGAGTGTATATACAGTCTGTAAATCATTAATGAATGTTTATGTAATTTATCCACAGTGAAAACCTATAAATTTAGCGTAATATATTATTAAAAAGATTTAATTCTTACAGTTACACGGTTGGAAATATCTTTTTTTTCGTGTTCTTGATTCTTGTCAGTTCTCAACAAATATGCAAATGGATTATTTGCAGTTCCGGTTATTGTATTTATTGGCTTAATTTCACTATTATCTTTATATTTTCTACTATTATTTTCATCAATATCAATAATTGATTTTTTATTCATGTATAATAATGTGTTGGTCATTTTTTTTTCGTTGTTACGTTTCATAAATGATCCTTTCACAAGTTTATTAGGCTATAAAATACCAATGAATTAAATAAAATATTAACATAATAAGTAGTTTATTTTCTTATACAATAATTAGTACTTATTAAGAATATATCTTTCTTACTTTTGATGCAATTACATTAGCAACTTGGAAATCAATTATGGTATTACTACTTATTTTAGGAGTCTCAATAGTGTCATTTTCGACTATAATTGAAGTTATACTGTTTTTATCATTTAATTGCAATGATTCTTCAGTATTTTCCAAACTAATTGTGTCACAGATTTTCTTATTTTGTTTTTTTTGATACTTCACCTGTTATAAATATAACATTTATATATTTCATATTATTAAATGACATAGAAACTAGATAAATTTTAACACTTACAACATGAGTTTTAGTCACAACCGAGACTGATGATTGTAAAATACTCTCCGATCCTTCATTTTCAATAATTTGCTCATCATCAGAGTTATTTTTCTAAAAAATAATGAATAGATCAGTAAAAAGGTTAATCATTCTAAGTGTACAAAATTATTTTAAAATTTAATATTTTAGTAGTACAGCATAATACATAAATATTATGAATATGATTTGTAATATTTTGCAATACACATTTAAAATATTTAAATACCTATATATATATATAATTAACTAATGTTAAGTTAAAACTTACAGAATTTTGAACTTAATTTTTCTAACTAACAAATAAATTTTAATATTATATATAGATAGAAATACTACATTTAAATTAAAAATCTTTATTTAATACCTGAGATAAGTAAGATTCACGTTTGAAACGTTCTTTTCTCCATTGCTCTGCCTTGTCATCATCGCTCATAGCATCATCTTCATACTCATCTTCATCTTCAGAAAATAATGGTTTTTTAAAAGCAGCATCATCTTGATCTAAGCAATAAATTATATGGTCATTAAATTATTTTTAATTATACATTTAAATTTTAATTACAAATAATATTGAGCACACAGACTAACCTTCCCATTGGAATTTCCTTTTTCTGCCAGAATCGGTATGCAATTCCCCATCTTCAAGAAGCATTTCTTTAAGAGCAGAAACTTGTTGCTGATCATCATCCAAAAGCTGACGCCTAATCATAAATATAATAATACAAAATTATAAATTATAATATTTGAATTGAATCTATATATAATAAACATAATATTAATACACACATATATATTTTGTCCAATCCATCTTTAACAACATCTTCATCTAGTTTATCCTTGTCACCTTCTTCTTCTTCTAATTTATCAATAGCACCAAGTATATGTTCTTCATCATCAGAACTCCAATCTGATTCTGATAACTCTGCTTCTTCATCAAAATAGTCTTTAGCTGAAATTAGTTTTGGAAGTTCATCTTCATAATCTTCATTTATAATGTCGTCTGCATCATTTTGAGGACTATTATTTAACAATTATCCAAAAAATATATAAACTATAATTTTAATTAAATAATGATTCAAAAATAATGAACTTACACTTCTGAATCAAAATCATCTTCAATGTTTTCATTATCTTCCTAAATACAAAAAATATTTATGAACTTTTTACTAAAAAAATAAATGGTAAAATATGAAACCTGTTCTTCAGATTTTTGTGTTTGAAACTGTCCAGAACAGAGACCCATCAATTGTTGAGTACAGACATTTGTTTCTTCTGGATCTTTCAATAAAGGCATTAAATCATCAGTTGTTAATTTAATTTCTAAATTTGAATCATCATCGCTACTTTCTGACAATACTAATCTACGAACCCTTTTCTTAGAAAATTCTGCAATTCAAAATAAATTAATAGTTTTATGCAAACATTAATAATACAATTATTATTACCATTTACATCTTCATCAGAGTCATCAATCAAATCGGGTACATTTTCATCATCTTCAGAACTATTATCTGATTCAGACAACTCTGCTAAATCATCAATAAATTGTCTAGCCACATTGACTGTTAATTCGTCTTCACTGTTCATATCTTCAATACTAAAATAGAAAAAATTATGTTTATATTAACTATTAAATAAAAATTTAGAACTATTACAAGAAAATAAATTTACTCGTTATGATTTGAAATAAATTCAATATTTTTACTTTTTTCCTGAGAACAAAAAAAAAAAAAATAATAATATCATCTTCATTTATTATAGTAAATCAAAACTACTTGTTCTGTTAGAGATTTATTTGAACATGAAGATATTGATCTGAAATCTTCTTCCTCATCATCATTAAATGAACACATTACATCGTTGGCTGATAAATCATTATTTATAACTGAATTATTATCATCATTTTCTTCATCATCACTAAAACCTATTCAACAAAACTAAATTCAATACAAATGTTTCATAGTATTATTTAATATAAATACATAATAAAGAGCGAATGATCTAGGATAAATTACATTGGCCATAATTGAAATCAAAGTAATCAATAAGATTGTATGATATTGAATATTCATATTATAATTTAAGACATTTTAATATTTTGGATCAAACCTTTATTGGACCCATTTTCATTGTTGCTGTTTAAAGAAACATTATTTTTAGCTTCAACATCATCATTATTTGTTGGTAACTCTTCATTATCTTCATCTTCACTACAATCTTCATTATAAAACTTTTCTACATTTTGTTCTTTAGCTTCAATAAATTCCCTAAAATGAATAAAATTCAATAAGTATTTTTATGCATTTTTAATTTAATGAGAATAAAAGAGCTTTATTTCTAATTGTATATGTAATAGATAAATAAAAATAAAACAATTAGATAACTTTTGAAAATGTTTAAATATTAAAAAAATCAGCATGAACTATTAATTAACCATAAATAGCCTTGTAGGTCCATCGCTGTTTCCATTATACCTCTCCATATCTCCCTGTCCTTCATAAGTTGTTTTCTTTATTTATTAATAAATTAGTATAAAAATATATGTTCTTTTAAAGAACATGTAACTTTTATTAAATATCAATATGGTTTAAATGCATCATAATAAATTTATTTCTTTACCATTATAAAAAATATCAATGACAATAAGTTTTACATACCATGCTTTTTCTAGTAATTTTTTGGAACCAGTTATAGATGCTTGATATTCTTTAGCGATTTTTCGTTTGTTAAGGAAGTCCTTCAAAGATTTTTGTTTAGGTTTATGATATGGTAAACGAACATGACTACTACTGATTAATCGTTGAGTCTCTCTACTTATATCATCAACATTTGTTTTACTACTTTTTGAGGACTTCTAGAATGAAATAAACATTTATTAAATAACAAAAATAATAATAAAAGATAAACTAGTATAAAAAAAATATATATATAAAAATTATTTAAAGTGTATACTGGAAACTAAACATAAATTTGTTGATTACAAAAAAAAAATTATTTAGTGTTGCATTAAAATGTAAATATGATTTTTGTCCATTAAGCTTATCATTTTTACTTATAAATTTGACACACAAATAACTCTTGATTTTATTTTTATAGTTTGAATTATATATTTTGACAAAAGAATTTGAGAGATTAGTTTTATACTTGTCAATTTAATTTGATATTTATAGATATATACTTGAGATATTACTTAAACAATATTTTACAAACCAACCACAATAAGGATTTGAAAATATTTCTGCATGAATACATCATGTATATGTTACAGTTAAAGTATTAAATCAATTAATTTATGAAATAATTAGATAATTTATAAAATAACTAAAATGTATAGAAAATTTATATGATTTATACTTTCACTAGTTATTTCAGTGGTTGTCAATCTTTAGGGTCCACGGCTCCTTTTGATTTTGAAATAAAATATACGGCTCTCATACGAATATTTAAAATAAACAAATTTACATTATATATAATAAGTTTAATGTAACTTTATTTAATGATAAGCATGTAATTAGGTATTAATAATAGGAAACATTTTTTTGAGATTCATATTTTACATACAATTAAAAAATTAATACATTAATAATAATTTTAATTTTTAATGAGACGGCTGTGCTTGTTTTTGTTGCATTATATCATCAAATCGTGAAGTAAATTTTTATAGTGCGATTCTCATTTCCTTTTCAGTATTTAGTTTTGCTCTGTATTTACTTTTGATAACTGCTAAGGCCGAAAAACTCGTTACATATAAGTATGAAGAAGCAAATGGAATCAAAGTCCTAACAAAGAACCAAAGTAATATACTATTACTCGATATCGCAAACACGGTTATCGACAGCCGATCTGTCTCACACATGCAACATGTAATATGTATTGGTACGCCGAAATTTTATTTTTAGTTTCTATTGCGAACGCGGCTACCTAGATAATAACCAGCAACGCTTCTGGGAGCCGTGACACACAGGTTGAAAACCACTATGGTTATTTTATACATTCCCTGGCATCACTTCGTTAATGTGTCAAATTGATAAATTGACACTTGTGCAATTTTATTATTTTATTGTCTATAGGTGGCCACACACAACAGTTTTATTTGTCTGTGTACCATGTATGGTGTGGTTTGAATAAAGTACACCGATAGTGTATGGGCAATAAAACCGGATGATAAACACCGTACACGGACATGGAGTAAAAACTGATTTTTTGTCCGTGTTCAGTGTTCGAAATGAAGAAAACCGAAGGCGTGTAAAATAAAACTGTACAGTTCTAAAAACTTTTTAAATTAAATAATAATAAATTAACAAATTATGTATAAATTATTAATATTCTATTGATTATTTTTAAAATTCTATTATTTTTATATACTTTGCCACTCACTTCTACTATATAGTAGTTTTATATCTCTAGTTGCTCTTTGAAAGGTCAATATTATTCTTTTTTTTTAATTATTTGTAATGTGACTACTATGAAGCGGCTATAACCAAACACTTGATACGTGATACAATTACCCATATCGAAAGAAAAACGTATTAAAAAAATAAGCACTCAGAAATTTAGCATATTTAAAAAACGTGGACACTGGTAGATAACTGAAGACAATATTGCGTAGTATGTGGATTAAAACGGTCCGTGTTGTTCGAACACTGTACAATGATACAAAATGGATAGTGTGTATCGTTCATCAGTGTACGAACTAAAAACGTGGGAACTACACCGTACACAGACAAATAAAACCGTAGTGTGTGGCCACTTTATCATAGCAATAAATTAGATAAAACTAACATTCTTATTGTCAGTGACTGCAGTATTCAAGTATGTTTATCATTAGACAAAATTATCATTGTACATGTATTATTATTAAGATTGTCAATAAAATTGGTAAGGTTTAAAGTTTAGTAACAGTCTTTCAGTGACAGGTGTTCAGATTTAGTTTGTCTGTCTACAAAAGTATTGCATGTACAACTAAATAATTAATTAAATTTAAAATAAATAAAATGTTATAATATACTTAGAATTTTAATGTATTTTATACTTTAACATATATTAAACTAAAATTGTATAGAATAACTGGATATTCTATGAAATAACTAATTAAAGTATAATTTTCTTGTATGATTTCATATTTTAACCAACATTAAATATTGGTTAAAATATGAAATCATACAAGAAATAAATCCTACAAATTTTGTAGGTAATTCATGAATTACATAGTTATTTCATAAAATAATGGAATTCAATACTTTAACTGTAAAATATATAATAAATATTGAAAAAATTATAATGTATTCTAGTCAGTATTTGTTAACAGAAATTATTAAGAAGATAACATACTCATATAATATAAAACATATGTTTTTATTGTCTTTCAAATACACAACATTTCAAATCTGTGTTCAATAGAATTATGTTATTAGCCTTAATATTAGAATCAACTGAACTATTATAAAATTAAATATAAAAACATTATCTATGTCTTATTATAGGTTATTTTTTTACAATATTTTAATTTTCAAGCTCATTATGATTAAGTAAAAAAATACAATTCAAAAAAAGGTTATTTAAATTAAAATTAAAATATTTTTCAAAACCTATGAGAAATCACTAAAAATTTTCTTCATTGATGTTTGATAATAGTTCTGTTTATTCTAATAATCAAGTTAACACATAAAATTAATTCTACTCACTACAAGTTTGCTATGTTGTATATTTTTTGAGATAATTTTCAGAGACAATTCTTGCAGATATGGCATTCTCTTAAGCAAAAAAATATTGAATAATTATTGAAGAGCTTGTAATTTATAGGTAGTTATTAATTTATTAGTATTTATACCACACCTGCATGTGTTGTCTAAATCAGCAGTTCCAAATATAAAGGTCATGACTATTTTTAAAGCCATGACCCCCAATAATGTCACCAAGATTTTGAGCAACCTTACAATCATGATAACATTAAAAAGTAGTGATAAATTAATATGATTTACATAATGTTTTTATTGACAATTCTAAACTATTATCAATTGTAATTCTCAACAATCATAATCATGATGATATTAACAAAACACCTCACTAGTAATTTTACATATTGGTGACCCCCAATTGAGAATCGCTGGTCTATATCTTATAGATGTAAAACATAGCGTATTGGCGTTGAGTAATTTAAATATTACGTCGTTAGCTTGAAAATTAAAGTTAACCGATCAATCATCAAAGGAAAAACATTACATGTATTTCATAGGGACATTTTAATTTTTAAATGAATGCAGATTTTTCCTAACTGTTGCATTACACATAGTACGGGTGCTCTGACAAATATCAAATCACTAATCGTAGTCAACTACGCGTACGAGAGAGCTCAAAAATTAAAAATTTAAATGTTGTTCATTAGGCAACCATAGGCATATACAACAACGATTACAATGCGACGTGTTTAAGACAGCTAATTTTTGAAAATGTATAGGCACGTCCATCATACTGTTTAAACAGGTCGTGCACAAGAGTTATGTACAAACGTGATATTGGGTTGCCGAAATGGAAAGAAAACACAAACTTCAAATTTTGAAAACGTCATTGTTACAGCTTGTAACACACGTACGGACATAGATACAAACGCGTTGAATTCCAACTAAAGTCCTACACGTCGTTTTGTCGGGATCGAACCTAACTCCCAGGACTAGCATATCGACTGATAACACACAACCAAAAATGCTTGCAGGCCGTGGCCGTGCGCACGACCCGTAGACGAAGCGTCTGAACGCTACAAGACTTCGCATCGACCGCGAGCGATTCGAAACGGTTGCGACGACAACCGACGATCGCCCGCAGTCGACAACCGGGTTCCACGGCCGATCGAGCCGACCGTTTCGCGGATCGTATATCGTTAACGGTGGGACTGTTAAATGCTCACCATGATGGCCGGACACGCACACGGGCAACAGGACGGGCGCGTGCGGGAAAACAGTTAACGGACCGTTACGCAGCGAACATTCTTGACGCGTCTCGGGAATCGGTACGCGGTCCGTACGCAGCATTCGTTGGCCGCAGAAAACGATTAGCATTGTCCGCATTATCTCGTCGTCGTCGCCTCCGATTTGGCGGGTAAATGTGCGGCGGCTGATAACGCCGTCCAGTGCCGACATCCGTTCGTATCGAAATAACGCGAGATCGCGTTCACCGTACACCGAAACAAAAAAAAAAAAAAAAAACAAAATACGAGATCGAAAAAAATCGCCGTAACATCAAACCGTCCGTGCGGTTTTCGACGCGCATCGAAACGTGTACGGTACCACTGCGAACGCGGTCGACGCATTGACGTATCGAAAACCGCAAACGCTCTGTGCCTACGCATGATGATTATGCGTTGATATTACGCCGTAGTGGCGCACGCAGGGGGGGGGGGGGCAGGGGGTTGAAACCCCCCAAAATTTTCTCCGATGTCTAGGTTAAAATTTACAAATTTTACAAGTTTGAAGTATGAAGAGCTAGTATTGATTACCTAGTATCGTTGATTATAGAATAGTCTATTCTATTATCAATGCTATTATTTAAGTCAAAATATATTAAGGATTTGCATAATTTTGTTAATTGTAAGATGTGTTATATTTTTACCTTGACCTCCTCCCCGAAAAAAAAATTCTGTGTGCGCCACTGTTACACCGTGTGTGAACGTTGCTCGGAAAACCGATTGTATCCGTGCGGTGTTCTCTTAAATGTACTCAACAATTATTATCTTGTGCAAATTTCAGATGCACGTCTTGACAAGTGTTACCTGCGTACACAACCACATCCTATTTATATATTATGTTCAATTTTTTTTTTTTTTTTTTTTGATCACTTATTTCATCAAAATCTTTTAAGTTGTGTTTTAAGTAAAAAAAATCAGTCTCATTGTTTGTCACGTACAAATTACTTCACAGCACACACCTTATTTCAATAATTAGTAGTACCTAAAACTCTAGAGCGTATTTGAGTTGATACCATGAGGGGGGGAAATAATTTTTCTCCAATACAAACTTAAAAATAATTTACAGTTCATTACAGGGGCGTACCCAAGGAAGAAATTGAAATTTCAATGGTTTTATAGTAAATAGTATATAGGTGGTGTATTTTAATTTCTCATTATCTTCAATATACAAAGTTAATAGATTATATAATATATAAACAATGATTAATTTATACTGCTTTTTTAATATTATTTATTATTGTTAATTAAATAAAGTATTATTTTATAATATTTTACTACCAAATAAAAATTGATTTCAAATTATAGTACCTATCTATTATAGTAAACCTTTGTGCAGAATATGTGTGATGTGTGTATAACTATTATGACTATTACTATAGTTATTTACAGTAATTTGTTAGTATTGAATTAAATTATAATTATAATTAGAGAACAGATAAAATAAAAATTCCTGGCTACGACCCTGGCTTATTACCTACAGCTCATGTTTGTGTTGTTCATTCGAATGAATAAATAAAAATACAAGTACCAAATTGAATTAAATATTTATTTAATAAATGTATTTAAAACCTACTGCATATAAAATAAATATTAATAATAACAACACAAATAGTTCTTATATTAAAATTGTACCTTCAGTCTGAATCCTGTATAAAAAACAACTTTAAAAAATAATTAAGATAGATAACTTAATTTAACAAATACCTAAGTAGAAAATATAAGGTTGGTAAGTAGTCAAATAACAAATTTCAAATTTCTTTTTTTCATTTTGGCAAATTTGTTGATTGTTTTATCAATGGATACAATAATATTTTTATGCACATGCAGCAAAACCAAACCTGTTAGTCTATGCTGGCCTATTCTTGATCTTAACCATGTTTTCAATTTACAACAATATATTTTGGCCAATATAGGCAAGTTTAGAATATAGAAACAAATATTGTCAGTCATTATGATTATTATTTGGGTTAAGGACTTCTAGCACTATAAAATACACAAATATGCATGCATTTGTGCACAAAAAAGTGACTAAATACCTATGCACAACAAAAAGTACCAGATATTATGTAAAGGGGTCAAAGGGGGCAATTGCCTTTGGGTGCCGTAGTTTTTTAAAAGTAAGAGGGTGCCCTTATCTACACTTAATATGCTATCTGTGACCAGTGGCCCCGTAGAAAACATTTTGCCCTGGGGCACTGAAATGTTTGACACGGCTCTGCGAGTAAAATTATTAAGGACTTATATAGCTCTAATAAATACAAAAATATACAATAAACATAAATGCTCCAAAAAATAACTAACTAGTAAATATGTGGTAAAAAAAGTGTTATTTTAAATTACTTTATACTATTTGATAAATACCTCGGTTATGGTTGTAAATGTCTATAACCGTAGCAATATCTGTGGAAGATAATACCACTATCCGTTCCACAACCAAAAGAGTTATGATACAAAAAGATAAACAAAAATTGATACCCGTGACCAAATTAATATATTATTGAATTTATTGTCATATAATTATAGACTAGTAATTTATATTCTTAATCATTTATACATTGCATTTTTTAAATAAATCAATGTATTATATTCAAAAAAAATACGAGCCATGGAGGGCGAATGCCCCCTTCACCCCCCCTCAAATACGCCCTTGAACTCTTTAGGTTCAACATGGAAAAAACTAAACTGTCATTTATCTTTAGCTCAAATATTATTACACATTTTTTACGTTACGACAACTTTTCATTCAATTATTGTCTTGATTTAATCGAAAAATACTCACGTTTTGTAGGAAATATTTCAATACCGTTTCTATCAGGGAATTAACTCAAGCGACAACTTAAAAACGATTTAACAAGCGAATTATCTCTGAATATAAAAATAACCGAATCTAGAAAAAATTAAATAACATGTACCTACTATCTGAACGTGTGATGTGTGTTATATCAGTATTTATCTCTACTCAAAATCAGCACACAGCACGTAATTAGCATAAAATATCGACTAATAAATCATCAAAACGACGATCTAAAACGATTGGTCGCTTGTGGTTTATTTATAATTTTTCTTTATGTCACCATAATTGACAACTTTTACTATTATTTATTTGATACAATCGGAAACTCGTCCACGCGATTCGTCGGTAATTTTTGATTTTAGTAGTTTTATTTTATTCTTTACGTTTTACACACCCTTAACACATTACAGCAGAACATTTTAAAACTGTATTGACGTTCGACGAATTATTATTTCCGACTGATTGCAGCAGTCACCCGGGAGAGATGTCAGAGCTTAAGTGTGTAAAATAATCATACATTATTAATTATGTACATTTTCCGTAAACATTTGAAATAATGAAACTTTATTACATACAAATACAATGCAATAATTTTAAAATTTATATAATGGTATTTGTACAGAATTAAAAAAATTAACGAACATTGTGAATACAATAAGTATTGTATTAATAGAAATCTTTTGTAATATTAAATATCAATAATAATAGTAATTATTATTTTTATTATTATAATTATAATTTAGTATACGACTGTATTTTATACTTATACAAAAAGAAAAAAAACAATATTTATATTATATTATACGGTTAGTGTTGTTATTGATGAAGGGAGTTAATCAATTTCGTGCGAACAGTGTGTGCGTGTATATGTGCAAGATACAGTTTACACACGTATACAGGTTTAGGACATTATAATTATATGTAAGATTTGTCCGTACAATCGATTATTGTATTAATAATTTACACGTTGTTAAAAAATCTTATAAATAATCCCAACAGTAACAAAAAAAAAATAATAATAATAATAATAATAAAATAAATAAAAATACGTATAATATTTAAACAAATCGGGAGAAAAATTCAAATTTACAACTATTTTCTATATCCAATAACAAAATTCCTTTCTCTGTGTGTGTGTGTATGTGTGTGTCTCTCTTTCTCTCTATATTTCTTTCTCTATTTCTATATTCATGTAATTCACTCGAATGAAAATGCGTAATGTCAATTCTCTCGACCTTACACGTCTGTCTGCCGTCATACAGCGCTCTCCCTTTTGTTAACTATTTGAGGTGCGGAACCGGAAACACTGGAGGCTACTGCTGGCGCCGCGTGCTGCTGCTGAACCGGAGGTGACGGCAGCGGCGGTGACGGCACCAAGATCACCGTCGGGTAAGTGGCGGCGATGTTGTGTGGTGGCCAAGGCGGCGGTGGTGGTTCCACGACGTCCACCTCCAAGTCGGCGGCCTGTTGGTGGTGATGCATCTGTTGCTGTTGCTGTTTCTGTTGTTGGTGGTGCCAGTGTTGCTGCTGCTGCTGCTGCTGTTGTTGGTGGTGATGCTGGTGATAAGAGGTACGCGGTAGGGTGCAGTAAGCCGCTGCGGTGGACGTTGGGGTGGGGTAATTGACGGTGGCTCCCACCGAAGCGTCTTTCACCATTACGATTGGCTGAAAACAATTAACGGACAAAATTAATTAGTAAATTTCAACAACACAGACGCAGTTCGATCCATAGTTATCCGTAGTTAATCCGGACATTGGTTACTCTGGAATATATTATAATGTATTATAATATATCTATTATTAGGTATACTGGAATATTTCAAGTACGCAGACTGTCAGGATAATCAAACAATATCTATTATATTTTTTATCGTTCTACAACATGTGATTTTAATCGGAGACGAGTTAATACATTTTGGACATAATATTCTTGAAAATATAAAATCGATAAATATTCATAATTTTTACATTTATATTATTTTTAATGTCAGCTATGCGATCGATCAATCAGCTGATAAACGATTAAATCGTTTTTTTTTAGAATCCACTAACATTACTTTGTTCGTTATACCTTTTTATAAATCTGTAATACGTACACACGCACACACATTCATACATATATATAAATTACAGTTTTTCAAAAGTCTATGTAGCAGAATAAAACAAATATTTAAATTATTTAAATGGATCTAATTTTAGTGAACTCGTAATCTTACAGAATATTTTATTTTAAAATATTATCAATTTCAACCCGGGAATAAAAATATACATTTAAATAAAAGCTATGAAAAATTATAATAGTATAAACTGAAAGTAGTTAATTGGTAAGACTTTAAGTTTTTATGACTATATTTGCAATTCATGGTCTTTCAGATATCGATATATAAACAGAATTGTGATATTTTTAATAACATTATTTAACTTAAATAACTCAATTAATTCTTTTTACATCTACAAATACGTTTTAAATAAATATCATATTTCAAATGTAGTCGTTTGCAAAAGGTACTGACTAAATATAAGTATAAAAACTGTTCATAATAAGTCAATGAAGTTTAATAACTTCGATTTAACTTTCTTGTGATAATAAAAACGTAATCGAAACACATTGGTTTTTCACTACGTATTTTCATTTCTTCTGTAGATACATTTCGTTGTTAGAATAAATCTAGACTAACTATATAACCACCGTGATATTATATATATATTTTTTTTAAAAATAAGTGGGTTTACTTTATAATTAGAAGAAATAATGTCAAGCTTTTAATTTAGCAATAAATTTAAAACGTCAGCGTCATTTGTGGCAAAAGAAGATATGGGTAAGTAAGCTTGCAATTAAACCATTTTATTATGGTACTAAATAAAAAAAATATCATATTTTTACGTATTAGTGATTTATTATCCAAATTTAAATATTTTTTTTTTTTTTATCAAGGTTGAAGTAATTTTGACACGGATAATATTATTTAAAAAATTGCTTAGCTTAATAACGAAAAGTGTAGTAAACGTGTTTTTATGAATTAAATATAAGTACGATTGAAAATAGTATATTTTTTTATAGCAGGATAAGATAATTTTTATATTAATTATTGTTTTTTGATTACCATCAGTAATTTAACATTTTATTCCATACTTTTCTTGTAAATAAGTCAAAATCGATTAATGTGATTTTGTCATGAAGACAAAAAAAGTATTTATATGCACTAGCTCGCGTTCGTGTATATATTTTATTATTTAACGTATTCACAGTTTTCTAAATAATAAACGGCAAACCACTCGTTTTTCGTAGAACTTACTAATAATTAGGGAACGGATTTATATGTAAATGCATATTTTTATTAAAACGAGATATTTAAGATTCGATGAGAAATGTTTATGATTTAAATCATTCCTATTAAAATTATGATACTTTTATTTTACATATTTTTACATATTTCACTAATTTTTAAATATTTTTAAACATATTTTTATCATTTCATCATTCATACGTCTTCTTCGTACGAAAAGACAAGAAATTATTTCAAAATTAGATCCAAAAACTTTTATCGCTATTGGAAAAGCTCAAAATAGTATGCAAAATGAAACATTGAAAATTATTTAATTTTAATTAAAAATAATTTAACAAAATTATTAATAAAAAATATGTCCCCAAATGATAGTATGCAAATTGTTAAATCAGCGATTAAAACTCGTAAGCGGACCAATAGATGTCATAAAAAAGAAAATTCATGCTGTTACAGAAAAAAATTCCAGGCAATATTGATTTTTAAACAATCAATGACATAATGAATGGCAGACAACCTTTTAAAAATTTGGAATTATCGCCTTTTGATAGTATACACTTGAAATATGCTTTTAATACATCGGTTGATGTGAAACGATAATTTAGCCGTTTTAAAAATATTTTGATACCTAATAGGCGACATTTAGCATTTGATAATTTACAAGATATTGTAATAATTCAATGCAACAAATCTTTTTGATAATTTAATAATAATAATCACTTTTTTTTTTAAATATTTTTTTCCCCACATATTTGGATGTTTTTAGCACATATTTTATAAATTATACTTACATATATATGTACATATTTCTGTATTTTTATTACATATAAATCCGTTCCCTACTAATAATACATAAGCTATGAAAAATTATTATTTTTAAAGCAGATTTTGATGATTTATCTTCTTTTTTTAAATAAAAAAATATTTAAAAAAAACCTTAGTAACAAGATGTAACAGGAATATAAAATTACGAAAATATCACTTATTTCTGACATAAAAGGTGTAATATAAATGTACTTTGAATTTACTCATGTAAGAATAATATGTGATTCAATAGTCACATGAAGAATTGTTCAGAAATATTATTTTCTTTATCCCTTTGAACGCACGAGTACACGCAGAACAGCAATAATTTTAATATGCTAATTTTTAATAAACAATAAATTTAATATGTTAATTTTAATAATTATTTAATAAATAACTAAAAAAATTAATAATACAATTTACGAATGTTGAATACTCTTACATTTAAGTTAAAATAACATTTTAATTTCAAGATTGCTCGTCTATTATCGTCTTTTATCAGATCCAGTAGCATTAGCAATTCAAATAATAATAATATGTTGTTTTACTTTGTTTGGTTGTTAAAGTTATCGCAAAGAATTTGTAACGAATTTGTAATTTAAGACTTTTAATATAAATAATGATATCAATATAAAATATTTATTAGTAGAGTTTGGATTTAATGATCAATATTTTATTAAAATATGAATTAAAAATGTTTAAATTTGCAATTATATGCTTAAAAATATATATAATTTAATAAATAAATAAACAAATAGTTTTTATAAATAAATAAATAAATGCTTAGTCAAGAGTACATTTGTTACGTTACATTTATAACGTACGATTGGTTTTGAGTTAAAAATTCATAATCTGATAAATATAAAGTCTATAAAACCGTTACTGAATATGAAAAATAAAGAAGGAAAAAAATTGAGAAAAATTATTAACTTTGTATACATCTGATGATGAATTTTTAATACAAAATTTGTACTCTCGTAATCATAGTCCAGATTAAGCATTTATTTATTTGATTATTTATTTATATTTATAAACTATAAATTTATAATTTATATATTAATTTACGAATATTGACCATTTACAAATTTTTAATTTTTATTATATTTTTTACTATTTTATTATGTATAAATTACCTATTTTTAACAATTATATAAAAAGAAGTGTGAATATCCATTCAAAATAAATTGAAAAATACACGTATATAAAATATAAAATATGAAAAAAGTAAAGATATAAAAATTAAATTTATATTAGTTTTAGAATTAAAGTTTTTTAAACTGTATAACAATTATTTTGCTAATATTTTAAAAATTTTAAAGATCTTCGAAGATCTTACATATTGTTTTTATAAACATAAAATTATCGTTCCACGTCAACATAGTTACGATCTACTTATTAGTACTTTAAAATAAATGCATTTTATTAAAAATGTCATAGACATCAATTTGTCAAAATCGTTTCAAATCTCTGTAATAAAATCAAAAGATTCATCTCAGTCACCTATCCTTTTCAAAGCATTTGTAGTAAATTGTAAAAGAAAATGGCTATAATGACTGAAACCATTTAAAAAGTGTATTGGAAATTTCCCACCAAAAAAAAAATAAAAATATCGATTTTGGTGACCAACCAGTACCTACAACATCCATTAATATTATAATCGATTTTGATCCTAGACAAGCGCTGCAGGGAAATTTTCTAACGATTCAACCGCGAGTCATATATAAATATTCTTATCGAATAATACGGTATCTTACGTCAGGTTGATGCAACGCGTTTCTCTGCGTGGTACCTCCACCGCCACCGTAATATTGGTTGTTGATCATGACGGGCCGGCGGAGCGTCATGACGCCCTGATGGTATTGGCCCAGATTGTTGTAACGGTTGTGCTGGTGATTTGGCTGACGGTGATTGTGTATCGGAGACGACGACGTAGAAGAGGCCATTATCAAAGTCATGGAGTCCGCCTGGTCGCCTCCAAGATCTGTACCAAAAGCAAGTCGATTTTTATTCGGCGCAATATATTAATGACAACTGTGCAAGGAGGTAAATATTAAAGACATTGTATTATGTAATCAACGATATTACTCCGAAACTCATTCAAAGTGTCCTGTCGGGAAACAATGACATGAAAAATTCTCACGTTACGGTCCAAGACTTGAACAGATTAAGAAATACCTGACTAATTTTCTCGACCGCAGTCGATTGAAATTACCCTTTTACGCGCTCAATTTATATTCTTACAACTTTTTCGCGTTCGTTTTAGTTATACCTATATTCATAGGTTAGTACACCGTTAGATTTGAGAACTTTAAAGGAATTCACTTACGTAAGTTCACCAAAGACTAGGCTACTATGATTTACTGGATTATATATTTATGACGTACAACAATCGAATCCGCTGTCGATATTTTCTTCATCGCATAATTAAAATATTATGCTCGATTCGTGGTCACTTGTTAACAAACGATTTTCCAATTAATTTTTATAAAAATAATTATAATATTAAAATTGTTTACGACGATGCGTTTCTAGATAGTTTTTTTTTTTTTTTTTTTCGAGACATCGGAAACTACACATTGAGGGTACGTATACGTGGTACATTTACATGGACCATGTGACACTGACCTTTGGTGTTGTAACCACTGTAAACGGTGCCGACCGGTGACATGAGCGGTGCCGGTATGATGTCCGGATTCCTGTGGTACGACTGCGACAGGGCACGGCCGCCAGCCGGACCGCCCGACTGTTCCAACGAGATCTTCTGCGGCAGCGATTTGGCAACGTATATGCCATTGGCCGAGGCCGGACCGCGGACGGCGGACGTCAACGGTGACGCGTGCACCGGCACAACGGTGATCGGTGCGCCGGGCACGTCCATTCCGCCACCGTCACAGGACACACCGACCGGCAGTCCTGGAGCACCGCGGCCCACCACGTTGCCGTTCCTCGGGACGCCGACGACCGCGCGTCCGCTCGCGCCGCCGTGGTGTTCCTTGTCCGCCGCGGCCGTTTTGCCGTTGTTACCGCCGACATTGGGCACCCCGTCGTCGTTCTGGTGTCCGACACCGCCGCCGCCGCCGCCGCCGGTCGTCGACTGGGACAGTTCTTCCGCGGTCATCATCGCTTTGTTCGTGCACGCCGCGTCCGTCTCCGCCGCCATCCGGTCGCCGTCGTTCTGGCCGTGCTCGTGCTCTGGGTCGTCGTCATCGTCGTCGTCCTTGCGGTACCGCAGAAACGTGGCCGCGCCGCAAGCAACCACCATCAGCGAGCCGGCCACCAGCAACACGATGGTCATGGCACGGGTCAAGTGGAAATCTCCAACGCCGCCGCCGCCGCCACCATTCTCTTGCAGTTGTCGGTCTGAAAATCAAGGCACGCGCGTTCGTTACAAACAGCGGGCACAAACGTGTTGTTACATTCGTGTTATCGGGTTCGAATAATAAATACATCGGATGGTTTTCGTTTTAAAAACGTATTTTACCACGATGGTATGTTATACGAAACGTGATGCGGTAATAATTATTATCCCGATTAACGATTTAAAGTGGTTTTCGATTAACAGTTCACCCGGTCATCGTTATTCACCACACGCATTACTGGTACCTAAACGTACCCGAATAAACCGATTAACGCATTTGCACTTTGAAAATTATACGTCAGTTCACTGGAGTGCACCGAAACTGTGCATACGACCAAGTTCGAAATTCTCTGTGCGTGTGTGTATTACAATATCGTTTATTATAACGTGTTGCACTGTTACTTATTATACGTGTAAATAACTTTCCTTTTTTTTTTTAAAAAAAAAAAAACAAATATGTTTAAATACAAGTATATTTGTCGTTTTTTAATTCATTAATTTATGATTCACAAGTCTCACATTCGGCTCTTCAATATCTTTCGGTAATTTTTTGTTTTGTTTAGTGTTCAATCATTTACAAAATAAAAACGAGCATTTAAACGTTTCATATACGCCTTTTTATGCGTTTTATAACAGATGGTACTTTAAGTAGTTTAACAGAACATTGTGAATAACTACTAAAAATCGCAACCATACTGCAGGAAACTACCTGCACTCGATTCCCGAAGGGGAGGACAACTTTTTACATTATTTTACAACTTTTAGTAGGTAGCCCTAGAGAATTTAAATGTTCACGAATTATTTATTTCATGTTTTATTGACGTTATGCATTTTAACTTTTTTGGGTTCTACAGAAAATTTTAATTAACAAAAGTTTGTTTTCTGAGCTTCATTTGATGAAATTTTCAATTTATATTTCATAAACCCTAAAATATAACACATCAATTTGACCATATTACGGTAACGAAAAATTGTGTATTTATATTTCTTCTGGAAAAAATTATACAGGTTAAAGTTATTTAATTATATGACGTTTAAATACATTTACTCTATCATATTTTACTATTAAAAATAATTAGTTTATCAAATATTTTATTCTCGTCCCCATATACCAAATATACTCTACCCTGAGAAGATTTAATAACTGAAATCAGTGGCGTAACAAGGATATGGCGATTTGTGCATCAGCAGGGGTGTGAATTGTAAAGGGGAGTAAAATTGTGCAAAAGTCATATTTTTATCCTACAATCAAATCGACATTTCTCCATTATACTTTTTGAAGTACAAAGATATTTTCTATTCGTACACACTACATGTGATTCTAACGATGGAATTATGAAAATAGCACAAGGGCATTTAAATAAAATATTAAATATGAAGAAATTATCGATGAATATGCTAGTCATGAAACGAGAAAAGCAAATTTTCAAAGTTTAAAATTTATATTATTAACTGTAATAATAATTTATAAATATAAATTGTATACTAAAAAAAAAATTAGTAAAATTAAAGGTTAAAAAAAATATCCGTAACAACAAATTTTAATTGGTTAAAAAACGTTTTTTTCTAAGTTTGCCAGGAACGCTAACGAATATTTCTACGCCACTGACTAAAATAGTTCATATGATAACAATAATATTAATTTCATTTTTTATATATTAAATGTTTTATTGGTTTCAAATTTTTAAATTTTTAAATCTAATATTTCTTTTAAATAATTAAAGAAATAAATAAAACAATAAAAAGTTTTAATATGTTAATTCCCGTGTAAATTTCAAAAGTTCGCAATTTATTTACTTTCAATATTTAAATTATACATACCACGTTCTTGTTCTCGCTGTTGTTCCAACAATAAATTTCGAGCCCTATCGGGATCTTGACCTTCAATTGTGGTCATAGTATTCGAAATTCCATTTTGATTTGATTCGTCAGAATCGGTTCCAGAAATTCCCATAGGGATCGATACCATTAAAGTTAATGGTTCTGATCTTCCTTTGGCATTGCTAGCCATCACATCAACTCTATAAACCGAGCCTAGTTTTAATCCTCTAGCTACAAAAACTTTTACCGGAGGAGAAGCTGCGTTTCCTAATTTTTTCTTTTCATCTTCATTCGAATCTAAAAAACCTTGTTCTTGTTCATCAATGCCTGTAACATTTAATACTAAATCTCCACTCAAATCATCACCACCGAAATCTGAATGGTGAATCTTAGAAGCTTCTCTGATTTCGGCCCACAAACGTTGAGGTAAACCACCGTCGTATCCTTCGGTACATCTAATAAATATATGAGAAGCTAAGTTTCTGGAGCTCCTCGATTTTCTCGTATTATTATATCCCAAGGCAGCTCTGGAGTTCACTACCGTACAGTTCGTAACACGATCAGGACGACCTAAAAAAAAAAATTAAATATTTATTTAATAACAATTTATGGTACCGCGTTCGTAGGCATTTGTCTTTATCGAAAAACTCTGCTGTAGAATAAAAACCGTAAAAATCTGTATAGCACTGACCTGCAGCAATAACGTGATAGACGCAAGGGTGCGATTGCATCCCAACTCGATTTCGAGCCCAACACTCGACCGTTCCATAATCGAAATCTGTTCGTGGAGCGTACGTCAATACTTTTGACGAGTTTAGAGCCGAACCTGCCAAGTTCCCAATACTGCTGAACCGCTGTTTGATCAATGATCCCGACGAGCTACTACTAGATCCTGCTCCACCACTCGTAGCTATTGACGATATTGTATTGTTAAACGACCAACGGTATTCCGTTGGCGGGGGGTTGGCCTGTACATGACAAGCGATCGTAACTGTTTCCTTTTTTGCCACACCGTAGACCACTCGTTGTACAGCTTTGCTACCACCACCACTGTTACTTGGCATACACGTCGGAGCGTCTAAGACGAAAAGCAATATTGAACAGTTAAGTTTTAAATCCAATTGTTTCATTATTTTAACTTGTCTTAGTTCTGTAACTTACAAAGTACATCGAGGTAAATTGGTTTGCTGTGAGGACCAGGACCTTCGGCGTTTTCGGCACCACATGTATAATGACCTGCCTCGTGGCGACTTACTCCTTGTAACACCAACGATTGATTGCTAATAATTATTGTCGTAGTTGATCCACTGCCTGATATTGATCCACCACCACCAGCATTGTGATGAAGTTCCATGCCCTAACATTTTGTAAATTATTAAAAATATATGGTTAAACGTGTAAAACTATGAATAATGTAGATAATATATTTAAAAATATATAAATATTTAAGCAGGTATAGTTTTAGGCCAATCGGAACCTAAAAAAACGGTAAGGGGAAAAATAGAATATTGTTGGAGGGCACTTATTATCTACAATAAATGTAATACATTTAGGATATTTTTAAAAATTTTTAATTTCAGTTACCCAATTACCCGATCGTTTATTATGAATCCGGTCTAATATACGAGTAAAAAATTTACAACTAAGAACATGTAAATTTATTAATTTTTTAATGTAATTTATAAGCTTAAAATAAAATTTATTTAATAAATAAAGATAATATATAATAATATATATATAAATATAAAAAGATAATTTATAGATAATATAATATATAATATCTTAAATTAAAATACTAATATTGTGTTTATGAAATTGTTGTTTATAATGTTTATAGTGTTTCGGTTATAGTGTCTCCTATATAGGACACATGGTTGGTCAGCTAAAAAATGTATGAATCATTTTCATATGATAACAATTAATATCTAATTTGATTACTTGGTACGTCTAATTTCTATGACTAATGAATAATTACTCATATAGAATTAATAAACTATTTTATAGACAAAAACAATATCGAAATTTAGTTTTTGTTAGTTTTTAAAATATATCTAAATTGTTTTTGACTGATAAAAAAAGTGATAATTATTTTATATTAATATTTATTTTATATGAGTTTTTCATTTATAATTTTATAACTATGCTGTTATTTTATTTTTTGTTTGAGTTTTAAATTATATTTTTAATTTTGTTATGCTAATAAGTATAAAAACTGTTTTTTATTTACTAATGTTATGTATTGAAGTAATAAGAAGATTATTTAGAAACATAATTTTATATTTTTTAATTTAACGTTGAATCATAATATCCCATACATGCGACACTTTCTACTTTCTAAAATAATAACGCTATCACCACTGGAAAAGTACCAAAAAATTTCAAAAAATTCAAATAGTATTTGTAAAAAATATCATAATTTTATCATGAAAACTGTAAAAGTATGATCGAAAGAAATGATTAAATCAAAATTATAAAAGTAAAATTGATGTTATCAAACAACAATCAGTATATACAAGTTACTGTTATAAAATTATATATGATGAGAAAATAATAAAAATAAATCTAATTTATTGAATGGCAATAAACAATAATATTTTGGAGAGACTGGGGGCCATGACTATCGGTCAAAATATACCTTGGTAAAAGGTTTTTTATTTTTTTGTATATAAAATTTGCAATGCAATTGGTAACCATGACGATGGAATTCTTAACGGATCGACTGATCTATGAGTATATAAGGTGGGTGTTCCATACAAAGTAAAAAAAAAAAAACCTAAAAACTAATCAATAATGAACATTATTTTTTTTAGTGAATTTGTCTCTTTTCAATGAATTATTGTATCGAATAGGAGAAAGTAAATAACTTTTTAATTTTTTCCTATTAATTTTAATTTGAAATAGATTATATGGTTTTATTAAATAAAATGTATTATTTTCACCACATTAAAATAAAATGCTTAAAAATATAATAAAAAAAAAGGGTCCAAAAAGATCTTACATCTCGTTTCCACTGGACTTTGTACGCAGGTGGCACTGCATCTACGGTGCAATCAAAATACACATCTGTACCCTCACGAATGTCGTCCGCTCGTAAGTTAGTACCCAATGTGATTTGTGTTTCGGGCACATCTGAAAATCGATTACAAAAGGGTTTCAATTTCAATGCGTTATTATTGAAACCGATAATTACACACAGGTGCACAATTTTTCAACACATTTCTATTTGATATATTGGCGCGTGCTACTTTCTCTTCCTGGATATTCAAAGGCAAATATGCCACACAAATATACCTTCAACGTTCATAATAAAGTAGTTGAAATATATGTTTCACTAAAGAAATTGTTAATTTAATTTTTTAAAAAAATCAGTCGGAAAATCTATGATTTGAAGTGTTGTACTATGTTTTTCTTAAATTTATACAATAAAATGAATAAAAATATTGATATGTTTTAAAAAAAAACCACAATATATTAGTTTATCGAATAAACGTTTAAATACAACGTTAAAATACATACATCGAGTTGCTATAATAACAATGGATAAACATGGGTTTAAACATAAGCCGTTATATTCTACCAATAGGAATAAGAAATGCAAAAATAAATAGTATAATATATAATTTGATACAAAAAAAAAAATAACCATTTTGTTTTTGCGTTCAGTATGTGTTCAGCTGCATACACTGTACGTGCGTTTGGTTCGGTATTATAACATTATCGTTTTCGATAAATTTTATACGAAACCATTACCGTATTCGATATAGTGTTTTTACTTTTTCCTGGTACCAACGGCAATCACCATAGTAGTACGACCGATTCCGGTAACTTATTAGCTGGGTGACTTAACTTTTTGGCGAGCGCGAGGTGGCGTTTATGTAACGAGATGATGAGAGGGACGGAAGAGCAATTTCACGGCCGATTGACCATGTCGCGGATAGGACCTCCCTCTCTGCCCGTCCGCCGTACAATAAAAATGCCTTTGCTATTTATGCTGCCGACTCTGTGTATAGTTTTTATCATAATAAACGACGAGACATTGTGAGTTAACTTATTTTTTATGTACGCAGGGCATACTTTTTTTTTTTTTTGTATATCTGTACGCAGGGTACACTTTTTCTTTTATACGAAATTGGCACGGCGACAGAGTTCAACAACAAATGGTCCGGACGTAACGACAATGACGAGCTAGCAGCGCTGCGTGGCGGGATGACAGAATGACAGTTTAACGTAGTAAAGCCAACCTACAGATACTAGCTATAGTGCATACGAGAATATAATATATACATAAATACATACGATAAATTATAACACAGTAAGTATTTTTTTTTATACAGTAGTTTTTTTTTTTTTAGTTGAATCGATGGAGTTTGTATTGAAAAAATACGTTACTGGCGTCGTAATATATTGATGTATTCGTTTTTATTATATGAATTTATGGTAATAAACTTAAAAATAAAACCGTTTGTCTATTGTATAGGTATGATATATGGACGTTGAACTATAACATCATATACTCGTATATTATTCTCAGACGACTGCCGTATCATCATTATAATTTAATTCTTACCTTTACACTTATATATGTGTACGTATGTATACGATAGCTTTTGAATATAGTTAAAGGGTTTAAATTTGTTTAGTTATCATTGCGTTTGAACGTAAATTTCAAAATATGTATTAAACTGTCACGTTTTTTTTTTTTTTTTTTTTTTATAGATAACTTATGTAACTGGAGAAGGTAAAATTGCACTGAATGATGTTATTTATAAAATAAAATAACTAAATCATACTAACAGAGGATATTAATACCTATCAAACGTAAATATTATGAACTCGAAATAAAAAAAAAAAAATAAAAAAAATCGAGAACCGATAAATTCTCGATTTAGAGTTATGTAGTTGTTTATATTATATATGCTGTACATTATACCGAAAACAATGGCCGGACGAGAGTGATAATTTCATTTTTAAATTAAAAAAATGTAACTATAGGTGTTTACATTGTTAAAATGTACTTTCTATACTTGTTTGCAAAAGTAAAATTGTATTTTTTTACATAACATTACAAGCAGGTAAAATGTACTTGATATATTATTATAATGCTACAGAATTTTATTAAATATCAATGTTTGTGTTGATCAAATATTATTTTATAAACATATTTTTATTGGCTGCTTCAAAAGAATTTATTTTATATTTGATTAAACAAAATTATTTATGTGGTGGACGGCAGAATAAATTACCATTATATTAACTTGCTTATAAAAATGTCTCTAAAATAAAGAAAAATGAGTGAGTATTACCATTAATACAATTTCTAAAAATTCATTTTAAACAATGAAAATCGAATAAGGCATTGTGTATAGTTAACATTTTCTTGCCATAATTATGTTAAAATATTTAAGATTAAATGAAAATTTTTAAATAATATATAAATAATACAGGTTTATAGGTACACGGTGAGCGTGTTTGAAATACTATGTGAGGGTGAAAACTCGAGAAAACAAGAACTATAATAAATAGGCCAAATTTCTAACAACGGTCTCGGTGTAGTAATAATTTAGGAAGAAACTAGTGAATATCGTAAACAAGGAAACCTAAGTTTCCTTCTAGGCAAAATTTACTGAGAACTGTCTATAAACACAAAAACAAAAACAAACTGCTGTGACTCCTTAGAAACTTGCAAGTTTCAGTCCTTATTTCTCTATGTAATATTACACTAATTTAGATAGGTCTATTTTGTGTTTTGAGTTTAGCTTTAATGATTTGATCAGACTAATACCTATTTTTACAACGGATTAAATATTAACGTGATTTGTTAATAGCATTTTACTAGCGGTAAACCAGTATTCATATATTGGCGTTTTTAAATTGCTTAGAATATTAATAAAATAACATTGAGAAGTAGCAGTAGACCGTAATTGTAATTATATTTTAGTCTATATAGTCAGAATACACCGGAAATATAGAATAAACACTCGAATTTACAATATTATATTTAATCAAACATGTCTTTAGAGTTAACAGTTAAACTTGCAATTTAACTTTTCCTAATTGAATCATCCATTCTATTTTAATTTGTTGAATTGTTATTTGAACGAATTACATGTCTGGAAGTTTCTAGAAAAACTTAAGAAGACATACATTTGAAATGCAAATTACATAAATCCATGGCTGATCGTTACTGGATAGTGAAACATCCAATTATCAAAAACGATGTGCTAAGCCATCGGCGAGTACTCGACATGGTTAATAATTATACAGAGATAAATATTTTGCATTACAAAAGAAACGAGTAAATTCGGAGTAAATTAGTAGATTTGATTAACCCGGTGTCCCACAAGTATCTAACTCTTGTCTGAACCTCTCATATGTGTCAATTATGAATTTAATTTATAAAGTCCCAAAACGTATGAGTGGTTATAATAATACATTTATCAAAGAAGTTTTCGCAATTACTTAAAAGTTAAAATACTTAATAAACTTTAATTTATTCCATTTTAGATTAGTTTTATAGCCAATGGGTTAAAGTTATAAGATATTTGTGTGGACATAATATGTTAAAGTAAGATGATAAACAATCATATTTTTATTACAAATATTAAAAGAAATAAAAATATTGCAATTCTTGTTTTCTATAAAATTAAAGCTTGATTTTATAACCTGTAAAAAAAGTGTACTTAATTGCATTTGGTATTCTAATTAAGCTTTGGGTATTTTTTTTTCTACGAATAATTATTTAAACGATACCAAAGCAAATTACACTGCAACGTGGAAGACAGCTAAGAAATCGATTACAATAATTAACGTTTCTATGTTAAACAACCGTATTGTAAAGTATATGGGTAAATGTATTTCAAACACTTTATTAGTATTCAGAATACTTTTAATTAAGTATTTAAGATGTAGTTAAAATATTGTCTAGTAGTTGTCTGGAGGCATTTAAAATTCAAACATTTTCCTTTAAATACTTTAGATAGGTCTTATTGATGGCACTTTAAAAAAAATTGAGACTTAATATTTATTATTTTATATCATTTATGGTCGAACAATACATTTCGAAATTCACAAAAATCATATCAAATTATAATTAATTTAGGAATACATTAAATCATTGATTTATTAAAATATTATCATAAATAAAAAATAGTGAAATTGTTTTTAAATTATTTTTTAATTTTTTTATTAAATATTTTTTCTATAGGAAACAAGTTCTAAATATTTTTATTAGGTGGAAAACCAAAAATATAATGCGTATTAAGAATAGATTACAACCATTATTACATTAAATTAGTACATTAAATTACATTACACTAAATTAATGCATAATTCAATATTGATTTATATATTATTTACTGTTAATTATATATTTATGTCTTTAGATTAAATTATATTTTGTTTTTTCACTAGATTTTAAAAAATCTCTTACATTTTACAAATAATACATTAGAATTAAAATTAAAATTAAAATTTATTTTTGTGTTCAGTTAAGGTAGTTTATTTGTACGTCAAAGGAAACGATTTATGATGAAGCTTATTTACTACGTCAAGTAATGACTAAATCAAATAAAATATTTAACGTCATATTATAAGCGTACAAAAAAGTTTATTTTTTGTTTTAACAATGTTCAGTTATTTTTATTTTTCAATATTTTGAAATTATTACCTACCATTCGAAATCGTTGCACAAAAGCACAAACAAAAGAAGTTCAAGTGCGTAATAATTGAAAGTCGAGTCGTTATCTGAAGTTTTTGAAAACGGTAAAAAGACTTTTGCGCAAATATGTAGCACGGGCAACAATCTAGTAATACCAGTTTCATTATAACGCGAATCAATCCCCGCTGACGTGAACTACAAATTAGACATTATTATTGATTCGGGATGCCATGACAAAAACAGCGAATTAGTTTTCGTGTACTATTTGTTATGTGTACATTACTTTCCCTATCCGGAATGCTTTTATGTACACAATTCATTTCCAACCCTAGGCCCCGGTGATATATAATTTATGTACAACTACATACACACGCGTGTTTGTGCGAGTAGCACGGAGAAACGCGACGGATTATTTGCGCGTATAAATAAAATAATAACGCGCAACACAATAGTGCTATTATACTCACACTGTATTCGTAACAACCACGTGCTTTGTATGAACGGCGTCCCGGCGCCATCGGACGGATCGCTACCGGCCACTATTGTGTGCTTTCGCTGGGACGTCGACTGTTGATGCTGCGGGTTTTCCGCCCTGCAGGTTAACCGGCCGTCATAGTCAGTCGTCCTGGGCTCTCCTCCTTCGCCGGATTCTTGATAACGCGATTTGGTCGGCTTAACAGGTACGAATGTCAGTACACTGGTGGTCGAGTTTCCGTCGGACGATGTCTGGTAGTAAAAAAATTAAATAAAATAAAAATACGATTTCGTACAGGCGCACGTGTATATAGATCGACGAGAAAGAAAAAAAGCAAAAGAAATAGGTAAAGGCAAAGGACTTCATACTAAACCTACTACCTTGCCAATTTTACTTATTATTAAGTATGTACCTACCAGCAGTCTATTTTCAAAAACCCAAACCCGTATTATATAGGAAGGATCGGAAGGTTAATATCTATAAAATATTAAACACAAATATAAAGTGACATCTACTGAAAAGTGTAAGTACTCGTATTTCGTTTTGTACAGTTATCTACTCATTGCTGTTACGATGGAATAAGTCCACATTTCATTTGATTACGTAAATGCAATGAGCTATTCTGCGTTCGTTGGGATGCCGAGAAACGCAGTGTACATGTATGTATGTATATTTAATGGGCGGACCTGCAGTCACAATGTTGGGCTAAACGGATCTCGTGGGATTTCAAGATAACCTCGATAGGTGTCGGTTTTGGTTTTAACATAAAAATAACATGTTTCGCCTACATTCGACAAATATGGCAGATTCACCGCACATCACATCGTTTGCTTTGATTGTTTATTTGTTAGCGTATAATTTGTTGTTTTATGCGTTTCCCCAAACAAACAATAAACAATTTTATTTGATTATTCACTTGTATAATGTAGCGTATATTAAAAAATATATATATATTTAAAGGTAAGAAAAATCTAATCAGATTTATAGTGTTATTATTTTTTTGTTTTGATAAAAAAGAAATTATGGGAAAATTGTCAAAACAAATTTTACACTCAATTCAACGGCTTAAAAATTATATAATATATAAATACTTAATCGATGAAAGTGTTATTGATAGACATAATCTAATAATGATATTACAAAAATACCAATTTTAAAAATATAACAACATTTTAAATCTCACCCATCAAAACTATAAAATATTATAAATTTAATAAAAACTAAAACAGTCTTGTGGAATTAATATAGTTACGTAGTAATAATATTGATGTTAGTGTTAAGTCTATAATGAATCGTTGTGTACCTTACAACTACAAAGTATTTTATTATACATATATATATATATATATATATATATATATATATGTGTGTGTGTGTCTGCGTAAAATTTAATAATAAAAGAAAGTTTGAATAAATAAGCAAAGTCAACTTAAAGTTGACTACGCTGACGCCTTTCGTAGCCGCTTACTTAACTCAATTTAATATTATATTACATTATTACGTATAATTTAATAAAAAAAAATATAAAAAAATAAAATGGGAATAGTTACGAGTAAAAATGTTGAAAAATACTAGTTTTTTATTTCTAATTTTTTTATATGCCATACTGTTACCAATGAAAAATTATAAAAGTTAAAACTTAAAAATTTAATACAAATATAAAAAAAAATAAAGATACATACAGAAGTAATAAACGCGATAGCCAAGCAAAGAAAAATGTGTTCCGAATAATGAATGAAAAGGTTAAAAATTTAAAGAGTGACCAAATTTAAAGTTAAAAGTTTTCAAACAATGAGGTGAAATTACAATAACTAACTTTCATTGTTGAAGTTTAATTATATATAGAAAGTAATAAGTAAATTAAAAATAAAATGAAATAAAATAATTATTATACATGTATATAAATTAATATTTTCAATTTCGTATTAAAGTTCCAATAATTTAGATGTCGCATCTCTTTTTATTTTCGTTGCCTTTAAATATAATTTATCATTTCATAGCTCTCTCTATCTCTATCTCTCTCTCACATGTCATTTAACGAATATTAGTGTTGTTGTGTAAACTTATATATGACATATCTAGTTATCTTTCTTTATAATTATAACGTGTGTTTAGTTTTATTAGTTTATCGATAATGATGAAATTTTTAATGAGGTTAAACTAATGTGTTGTGTCGATGGATAGAAAATAGTTTTTATAAAGTTCTTACACTTAATGGAGAGTCTAAGTTAATTAATTTTTTTTTCTGAGTTTCATAGTTTATAAGCGGATTGTCAGTACTAAGTTCATAAGCGAGTTTACATTTTTCTTTTTGTAGATATGGATTTCCTATCCCATTCAAAATGTTCATGGTTTAACCCGAACGTTTATCTCGCCTTTGTTTCTTGATTTTTATATCTCTTTTTAGTACATTTTCAGGATAATGGATGGGATTTTCGAAATAATGCATTTTCCCGTAAAGTACGGTCTGATTATTTTTAGTAGATAATATTGGATAAAAAGTAAAAGGTAAATCGATTTCTTTTTGGGATTTTAATTTAATTAATTATTATAAATAGTGATACATAAAATATACCATTGGACAAAAGTCAGTTAATTGAACCACCGAGCTCATTACGACCATGAAAGTATTTTAGGTCGAAAGATTATAAAGAAAGATACCACGTAATCATGCCTAATCATTAATGGCCATGGGTACGTTTTTGACCAACAGGTACAATTAAGTGAATTAAGTGTATGTGTATAGCCTTTTAACTCTGAATAACATTGCCAAACTTTGCGTTTTATCGGCGTCGTGATAGTATTTATCGATAAATTAATGAACAACAAAAAGCCTCCATGATAGGATAATAAATTTTTAACGACGAATTTTCGTCGTCTATAAGCAAATTTTCTCTGAAGTATAGACTTAAGACTAACCTTATTTATAGTATCAGCTTTGTAATTACATAAAAACACCACTACTAACACAATTTTATAATGAGAGTTATAATTAAAACTCACGTGTATAAATATAATAACATCAGAGCTCATAATGATAACCATCAAAGGCCGTTTCCAAACCAGTAATTATTAAAATGTCGTTATTTATCTTTAGATATAGAACACGAATAATGAAAACTTGGAGAATATTCCACATTATACTAAAATATTACAATTTTTAATTGGTGAACGTGAATCAATTCAAACCAGTAAAAATATATATCCTAATGAAATTATATTTTTAAATACGCATCCATCACTTTAGTAGACATGAAAAGATTATTTTCAAGATATATTCATATATACTGACAAATGCCGATCAATAGTTTTTGAAAATATAGCTAAAATTATTATCATAAAATGCAATTCACTTTTAGGTAAGAACATTTCTTTTAGGATACTTTTTTGATATTAATTGATTCCTTTTTTTTTTCTTAAAGATAAAACTACCTACAAAATGATTTTGGTAAATAAATTATTTAAAGAAAAGAAGAAATGAAAGTATTTAAAGTAGAGTTAGATAATTTTTATGTATTATTTTAATTAAATATTCAAAATATAAATGTTTTTTTTTTGCTAAATTTTGGGAATATTTTTTTTTTTCATGCATGTATTACAATTTTAGTGCCTATAATTGTTTATATTTAAGATTTTAGCGCATATTTGGTTCGTTTTTAATCAATAACCAATAATCTATGTCAATTATTTATTTTTATTAATATTTATTATAGTTAATATTATTATAGTTTATATATGATTCTGTTGTTTGAGTTTCGTATTGATTAAAATACTTTATGTTTTTAGAATAGTGAGCGTTTTGACGTTAATATGTTAAAATAAAATGTATAGATTTTACCCTCCTTCCCCGCTAAAAATTATCGCAATTATTCCATTCCTTTAAATGCCTGTAAGAACTGAAAATTCTGATATTATTTAAAATTATAGTTAAAATGTAATATAAAATACTAATTTCAACACAGAATTTTACTTCAAATTAAATTTAATATCCACAGATACAAATTTTATTAAAGTAATATCTTTATATAAATTCAATTGTATATTATCGTCATTTAAATTTTTAGATATTTTTTACATTTTTATACATTTTAAATACACTATCTCCCGTTTAAATACCTAGTGTTTTTAAACTCAATGTTTTAAGGTGTACAAAATTAATTTCACTTTATTTTTTAACTTTCTAAGCATTAAAATTTTCACCAAAACAACTTAAATGATTTTCATTTTAAACATTTTTGAAAACTTCAGTACTTTTTATCCATTTTCATTTACTTTATGCTCGTTAAACCGAACGCTCAATATCATTTTTTAAATCGTTTATCGGTACTTACTGTCTCGCGAGTTGTGTCCAGCCGCCGACCATCCATCCACCACGTGAGCTTTGCTGGTGGTCGTGACCCATAGGCCCTGCATGGTAACTCGTATTTCCTTCCTGCCGTCAACGGTTGTAGCTGTCGCTGCTCCTGAATCTTACTGCTATGAATGGATAAATTATCTTCGTCATCAGGTGACGGTAAGGGTGTAATTTTTGCCGAAGATTGGATGAACGGGTGTGACTGTAAATCGTCGTTGATACCGCCAAAATGACCATTTTCCACAATCGGTAAGATCTGAACAGTCAGTGGAGGAACTGTGGACAAAGACAAATAAAAAAAACCATTATATAGGTACTCACAACTATTGAAATAATTAAAATAATTAATAAACTACTCAATTACAAGTGTTGATTACTTTCTTAGTATTTGTGTTCATTTGAATGTAAATCGAAAATCAATTCTGATCAAAAATCAAAGTATGGAATATTTACTTACACAATTTTTCACCATTGTTTTAAAATTTTATAGCGAGTCAAGTATTGTAGCATATTAAAATCCCTAGAGTTCTCAGATGTTTATTAAGTATTTATTTTTGAGGTCCAAAATCCAATCTAATGGAATACTGTATTAGAAATTTTGGTGCAGATTTACCGCTTGGAAAATTTGATAACATATACAGAAAAAAAAGCAAAATGGTTAAATAAATATTTTCTTCACTGCGTCCAGAATTGTATAACCATCAATATTTCAAATAAAGCAGAACTGTGCTAAATCTTTTAAATTTGTGTTGTTAATTATCATTGTATCAAACGTATAAAACTTAATAGATGATCGAAACATTTTCCGTTCAAAGTACCGATCTACTTCGTGAATATTTCTGATTGTATTTCTATTGATAAATAGTTTCGGTGCAAAAGTTAACATCTCGAAAATCTAAATACACATGCGAGAACCCAATTCACCTGGAGTCTAAAATGTATCGATAAAAAAACAATTTTCTTTATTTCGTGAACCGTTTTTCACCCTTGTTAATCATAGCCTATTGTAGGCTATCGTGCGTTCACTAGTCGTTACACCGCATATGATATATTTTCATAGATATCATATTGAGTGTTCACTTGCACTATATGCACGATTTTACGAACGGAGGCAAGTGGACAAGTTAATTTACGTGTATTTTAGTGCGCACACATGCATACTTACGCGGTATAAATATATATACGCGCGCACGGAGGGTTTTCGACGTCTATGGTTTTTGTCGTCACTATAAATAACATATACATGTATATACCACTACCTTTATACCGCCCATTAACCGGGGTCACCGATTAATTTCGATTGGTTGTTACCGCGGCGCAAGTCCTCGTTCGCCGGCCGATAGTGGTCGCAGCAGCACCACTGCGGTGAAAAATGGTGACACGAACAGCGAATATAATATGCCAAGTTCAACCGTTATGCTCGCGTACGTGCACGCGCACACGCACACATGAACACATGCACGCTCGTAATCAGTGTTTTTGCCTACGTGTAATTAAAAACGACGTGTCGCTGGGTGATGTAAAATGTACCGTGCCAATTAATTACTCTAAGTTAAACATATATATATACCTACGCATTATTGTGTACATCAAATATACGTAATATAATATATTTTATGCCTGTACAGGGTGGTTTTTTTTTTTTTTTTTTTTTTTTTTTTTTTTTAATGCAAACCATCCGTTCGCAATAACTAAGGGAATATTATAGTTTGTGTTATATTTTTTACTAGACGTTTTTCGAAATATTCTACGAAACCATAGCAAAAACTACGTTTTGTATTTGATTACAATTAAAATGTAACATCGTTACTCTTCATTGTTTGTTAAAACAGAATGAACTTTATATTTTCAAATATCAACCTACAATATTTTATGTTTAAAGCCCCCAAGAGAGATTATTTTTCGGAATATTAGAATAAACACGTAAATCTAATTATCGGACAAACGATTAATTATAATTATTTTAATGTTGGACGAGATGAACAGACAAATTAAAACATCAAATCTTTATTCATAAAAATAGATAGAACATTTTTAGAATTTTCTGTTTATGCGAACAATTTTAATAATTTTAATTATAAATATTAATATTCTAAATTTGTTATGTACTTACTGTTTTTAAAAACAACACAAAAGTAATACCATCTATAAAACATTATAAAATAGTGTCCGTTTAATAAAAATGTTGAAAAAAAAATGAAACACAAATAAATTTTTTAACTTGGTTCCAAAAACATATCGTGCATGTAAGCCCTGTTTGCAATACTAACATCTAAAAGAAGAAAAAAAGAAATACTTTTTCAAAACTATTGTAAAATGCAACTGTCGGTTTTTTGCAATTTTCTATATAAGCTTTATAGTTTATATAAGCTTATAAAAAGGATAGTCGACTGTAGCAAATGCACATTAGGTTTTTTGTTATTGTTTAATAACAGTTTCTTAGAACGGAATTGGATGAATATTGTGTCCTTGTATTGAAATTCGGAACTTTAATTCTTCATTAAATAAAAACTTCAACGTTTAGGTTGTCAAGTCGTTATTTATTTATTTTCGAGCTCTTTTATATTTTGATTGAAATGAGAAAATTATTGTTTCAACCATTATTTATGTGGAATTTTTCTTTTTATCTATACACATGATTTCGACTAAAAGGATTACATCAACATCATAAGAAGTTTATGATAGGATATTTTCTAGTGAGAGCTTTAAAAAGGTAATAAGACGAAATTCCCAATAGTTTCCCAAACAAAAGCTGAAAACTGACGAAAAATAAAAAATAAATACAAAATTTACAGCATACCGGTTTTCGGCGAAATCTATTGAATTTTTCGTCATAAGTTAAAAAAAAAATAATCACATATAATATACGTTTTTATTGAAAATAATTGCTTAGTCACCATTTACTTTAAATGGTATAATTTCAAAAATACGTATTTTGCCTCTTTTTAAACTATTCATAGGTATTTGAAAATGTCATTATCTTTCTGTAGAGTATTGATAAAATAATTTTGGTTAAACAAAAAGTTTTAAAAATAGTATACAAATTTCTTTATAGATATATTTTAGTAGTAAATGAAAAAAAATTGAATGAGCGTTTGAAAATTATAACTCAACAAAAATCACGAACATTTTATAAATAAAAATTCATACGATTTTGAATTTTAATCCTTTAATTTATTTTTTTTTATTTTTAAGCTAGATAATTGTACAATCTGTAAAATTACGGTTTACAATAAGCACAAGTGATAATGGAGTTTATATAGAAAAGACAAATAGTGGGTAAATTAACAGACAAGTCAAATAATTACTACTATTTACATCTATTCAGACAGGGGGTTTGTGCGAAGAGACCATCCATTGATGGGACTTCGTGGAGTTTTAATACTTAAGATTTAAAAACTGTATATGTTAGCGTTAAAGTATTAAATGGTGATATTTAATGAAATACCTAGCTATCACATACATTAACCAAATCAATCCGATAAAGCATGTAATATTAAATTTAACAAGGTATTTTATGAATTCTCCGTCATTTTTCAATTATAGTTTGTAAATTGGATTTCGTTAAGATAAGGCAAGATTACATCAAAAATAAGTGACGATTAAATCAATGGATAAGTAACGGAATTTTTGATTCTTGTCCAATTGTTTGCAGTACTCCGTAGTTATTCGCTTAACGTATTTTACGCATTGTACAGCTGCAGTAGGTACACATATTTTAATTTATTGATTAAGTTTTTTTTAAATTTTTTTCAATATGGATGAAAATATAATTCTTATGAAACAACAATTTGACGAAGCAATAGAAAAATGTGAGTGCAAAAAAAATAGTGCCATTTTATCTAGTGAAAAATATTTGAATTTAATATCTGACTTCAAAAATTAAAAATTATAAAAACTCAAACCCTTGGCTTGCTAAACATTACGATTTAATAACAATTAACGGCGTTGAAATATTAATTTACCCATTTAATGAAAATAATCCTAATTTCAAAATATACATTATGAAAGACGATATGTTTAACATTTTAAACGATGTTCATGAGTAAATTGGACATGGAGAAAGGGACCGTATGTTATTTGAACTTAATAAAAAGTATACAAATGTTACCCAAGCTGATACAAAGTTGTATTTAAATTTTTGTATTCCATGTCAACAAAAAAAATCACATAAAAAAGGTATTGTGGTAAAACCTATGGTTTTTAACGATTTTAATAGTTGCTATCAAATTGATCTAATAGATTTTCAATCATAACCTGACAGATATTTTAAATTTATATGTTTAACTCAAGATCATTTAACAAAATTATGTATTTTAAAACCCATAACTTCAAAACAAGCCGAATAAATCGCATGTGTGTTATTAGATATTTTTTGTTTATTTGGTTCGTCCGCTGTTCTTCAATCTGTCAATGGTAGAGAATTTTGTAATGAAGTTATTAATTCATTCCGTGATCTAGTTATTAATTTAAACACTTTAATGTTTCATTATCTGTAATTCTATAATATAATTAGTTATTCTATGAATTTTCTAGATAAAGTATTTATATAAATATGAATGTAAACACTTTAACTAGAACGTTATGTTAAATTATAAAATAACTGGTTTGATACTTTTACGGTAACATATATAAGATGTTTAATACATTTTATTTGTAGCCTATACATTATTTTCCCAAGAAATTCTTAGAAAAGTTTTATAGTGATGGGAATAATTAAAAGAAAATATTCAAAATACTCGATTGTTCGATGTAATCGATTGTTCTGGATTGTTTTGGAAATCATCAAGTGATTCTCTCGGTAACAAAATTCTATATCAGTTGAAGTAATTGAATGAAAAATGCTGGTTAGGTTAGAAGGTCTAAGATAATATAACATTTAACTAATAGGTAGTCGGTACTAGATTAATTTTTGCTCGTACTCATCGCTCATCATACTCGAAATATTTGTAATCGAATTATGACAAAAATAAAAATAAAAAATTGTAAAACATTTTGATATTTGTGTTTTTTTTTGTGTCTTCGCTTCCTTTCTAAACATTCGAAACACGTTTATGAACGAATAAAATGGTACTAATTTATTATTGCTATGCCAGCAATAATAATTAGATTTGGGTGTTTTAACTCCCAACACCCAGTTTTGATCGTTTAAAGTTATAATACATAACATATTTTAAAGTTTAAAAATGTGATTAGGTATTTTATCGTTGAATCCAACAATTTAAATTCTTAATAACTGCTTGTAAAGATGCATTCATTAAATTAAATATTACAAATGTAGTAGTTTAAAATTAACAAATTATAATAGTATGATATTGTGATATTATATTTTATTTTAGTTTATATCCATTTTTAGTCATAATAATATTTTTAAACAGTAATTTAACATTTTTTAACTTATTTTTAACTTTATAACGGTTTTTTTTTTATTTGCTATGTATTGAGTTGTAATTTAATAAGTATCAATTTTTATTGTTTTAAACAAAGATGTAGTTTTATTTTATTTATATGAAGTTGATAATAAACTAAAATATTCCAAAAAAAATACGACATGTTTAATTTTATGGTTCATTAATATATGGTATATAATTATAATATATTATGGTTAATGTATTTATTATAAGTAATACTTAATAGTTTAATTATTATTCAAACGAACGAGCGATTTCATAATAAAATATTACACTAGGTACTACCTACTAGAATTTTAAATTTTTATTCAGTAATCAGTAAATAGTTACTATCAACTAAGTACTAACCAAGACATTTTTTTCAAGTGAATCTCTCGATTGTTAAATCTTCTCGATTAATGAAATCACTCATTTGTTCCCATCACTAAAGTGTTATAAATTAAATGTTGTTGAAATTTGATATTCAACGCATTTTAATTATACGATATTAGGTTTTTGGTTACTATCCCATATCGACTGGATACATTTACTGAGTACTTATATTATTAGACATTTTATTATTTTTTCATTTTTTCTAATAAAATTTATGTTTTTATATTCATTTGAAATGTTTAATTAAAAGCTAAAACTAAATACTTATTATGAAATTTAGTTCTAATTATATATTTATTAATCATCCTTAGAAATATAAACTAATCCACCAAATCCCTATCAATTTATTTAATGTTTACAGCAATAGTACATTGGTTTTAAATTTAAAAGATCAATATATAATTTATCCGTCCTTGTATATTACCTAATCGTGAAGTTACATCCGTTATTTTTTTTAATTGCTAATTCTATCGAACTTTTTACCTTAAAAATATTTTATTTGGATTGCATTCGTAGACAGGGCATTGCATATTTTATTAAAAAAAAATATATGTGCCTTTCAATCATTGATATTTTATTATATGTTTTCCTTATGGTGTTAATATTTTCAACTATGCATTTTAAGTGAATTTTTGATATTTTTTTTCCTCATTAATGTATTTATTTAAATTAAATTTTATGGGATATCTATTGAGTTTTTAACTAAATTGATTGTATTTTTAGATTTTTACTTTAAGACATTATAATTCACTTCTCTTTTTATGAACGTCGTGTTAAATGTTTAGAAATTGCTTACAAGAAACTGTAGCTACAATATAGCGTCATGGTGAGAGACGTATATTTTCGTCTCTTTTATAAAAGCACTTATCGTCCTACATACATGGTTTATTCACGGTTTATTCATCGCAATGAATTTTATTTTCATATTTTCATTTTTTTTTTATTGACGTCGACTGATTACGCGATTGATTTCGTTCAAGCGAGATGGATTTTATTTTTTATTTTTTACGTTGAACAATAAGATACTTTAAAATAATTCATTCAAAATTCCGATCAAAACCCATTGAGCTGAGGTTGGTTCACTTTGATAATATTACCCTATATGTGACCTATCAAGGTATATGATAGGAAAGGTTGTTCTGGTACAGATGTACACGAAGTTAAAACCCGTTAGTAGAAGCAGTGTCCGTGTCCACCGTTTTAAAACTATAGCTGTCAAGCACATACGCACATATTCGCACATACACACATACATATGTATTTGTATATGTATATGCACTTTTGGGACTCTGTTGGTAATTAACGAGAGTCACACGGACAGATATAGATATATGAGAGTGGGAAAAATAGAGAAAGACTGAGAGAAATAGAGAGAGTAAGAGAAAGAGAGAAAGAGGAGACATGCAGCGATGAGAGCAGGATAGAATATATTATTATAATATTTATACATATGTATTGTACATGCAAAACATGACGGCGGTAGGGCTATTATTGTTGTAATTATTATCCTGCAGATTTCGGTGTTATGGCGGGATTTCCTGCACTGGTTTAATTTGAAATCAGTGTTGAATTCGAATATTTATCATGAGCCAGCGGTGGGCGCTGCATTTGTTTCTGAAGGCCAGGCAGCCGGATTTAATAAAATCTGCTGCATTATTTTATTGATCATAAAACACACACAAACACAATATAGTTATGAACATTTTGTATTATTTTGCATTGTTTCAAAATTATATTAATTATAATACGTTTAACCGATTCACTCACTCGATGATATAATAAAATTGGAAATTTCACAAATAATAGAATATTTTTAATTTAATATATGTAAAGTATGTGAATGTGAACATAATTTTAATTAGGTTTTCGTTTAACTCGTACAATTAGTAGCCAGAAGAGAGAGTAAAACTCTAAAATATACGACATTTCAATTGAATGTCATGATAAAATTTTATAGGATTGTATTGTAACCAGGACATCTCGTAAAATATGAGAACGTTTTATTTTTTGATCCAAAAATATTTGAAATATACTGTAATTTGTTTAAACAACCTATACAATCTCCAAATGTTCTGTAATTCTTTCTACCACTATGATAATAAAACTAATGATAAAATCGTTTTTAGAATGAAAAAAAAGGTTTGTTAAATAAAAAATAATTTAAACTAAAAACCACGCTGCTTAATGGCTGGTCATCGATACTTACCATTAAGAATAAAAATGAAAATGTTATAACAAAAAAAGTAGGTATTAATAATGTTTAGGTTTTACTATCGTTATAGTTCGTAAAAGAATAGGTATTGAAACGAGATTTTTTTTTTTTAATTTAATTTTTTTAATTAAACATAGTACAGTAAATATTATTAATTATACAACGAGTATCTTATAAGCCGATCTTGTGATTGGGTAGGATCTACCTAGTAAGTATTACTAAAAATAAGAATCCATTTTATTAAAAAATAATACGAAATATGTATATCTAATTAATTTCAAAGCATTTTTTTTTTTTTTATTAGGAAGTTAAAATTTTTTTGACATCTACTTCGAACTTGTATACTATGAAATTTGACCATATAAATTCGGACAAACAATGTATATGATCTGAGTTTTCAAACAAGACAACAAAGTATTGCTAATAATTTTTACTCACAGTTCATATCCACATGAACGACCGCCGTTAGTGAAGACTGTCGTTGTCTCAGAGTCCAGCGACTGGGATCGATTTCGCCGTCAATTTTTTCTCTTCCGCTATTTGTGTCGATATTACTGCTACCACTGTTAGTAACAATAATCGAGTATTCCTCGTCGTCATAAAAGTAATTCCACGCCCGACAAGTGAGCTCGGTGTGCAAATCGCTACGCGTCAGTCCTGTCAGAGTCAAATCTACTTCTATGACTCCTTCCGATTTTTCACCTCCTGTAGAAGTGGATGAGCTTGTAGTGACCGTCGCTGTTGCGTAGGAAGTGACATATTGTTGTTGGACGCCACTAGCATCATCAAAATCGCTTGCATCAGGCATTAATAGTTGATTATCCCGAAACCACGCTACACGAGGTTTAGGTTTACCTGTTAAACGAATAAAGGAATCTAAATAAAACTTTATTATAATGTCGCTAACAATTAATAATCAGACCTTAAAATAGCCATTCAATAAGAATTTTGAAAAGATCAAGTATTTCATTTTTACAATTATTTTTACACTTATATAGAATTTCAGGATAAATCCCACTTATCATTTCCTCTATCGTCTCTCTTATCTGTTTCATTGAATATTATCTCTTAATCTTTATTAAACGCTATACATAATAATTCTCTTATATTTGATATTTGTATGAATTAACTATCAGTCCACATTTTTTCTAAATTTTAGTCCAGCACATTATTTTTTACGTTATTGGGCTTTGGATTTTCAAATCGAGTAGTTATTGAAATATTTTTCTGTAACTATCTTTCCTCCCAAATTTTATTATTTGATAATATATAGTTTACAAATTCAGTATAATAATTTTCTAGGTTTATATCCCGAAAATATTCTGAAATAGCATATATATAAATAAATATATATATATATGAATATTTTATATTAATTGAAAACAACCAGTCGAAATATTCATATTTTAAAACAATAATCATGGTAACTGATAATTAAAATAATAAATTAAGTGTAGGGACTATTTTATTGGGAAATAAATAATTGATGAAAGCACGATTGTCATAAACGAAAATTGGATATCAAATTATTGAAATTTCAATATTTATTATAATGTTATCGAAAATCACATAATTTAATTACAGAATACCTTATACATACATTTTCATTGAACATATGACATTTTATATTGTATTAAACTATGTTATACTCTATAATTACTAACTATTATTATTAAATTATTACCTTCTACAATTACCTAGAAGTTATGTTAAAAAAATACTACTAATTTAAAACAATTAATATATGTAGTTAAATTATTATTTGAATCAGAATTTCATTCAAAGCTGAGCCAAACTATAAGATTTAAGACCTAGGACATTAACAAGAAGTCAGTGATCCTCTTGTAAACCAATTAAACTGTATTCCTGTGTAATAATAATAATAATACTACAACTATTATAAACAGGAACTATCCAATTTAAACATTTACGTGTAAGCTGATACAATTGAACAATTCTGTTATGATAAAAACCTCAATTTTACAAAAATAAAATCATCTTAAAAGTTGTATTAATATTATAATTTTATAATTATTTGTTATTTCATGTTTTTATATTATGGACTAGTACTCGTATAATACTAATATGCATTTTGAAATAAATGAATTTCAAGTGTAATTTGCATACAATTATGGATACCAATAAAATTATTAAAGAAGCATATTTTAATTAAAATAATGAACAGCAAAAACATTAATAAAAAATATAAATTTTTAACCACATTACATAATAAATTATGTATAGCCTAACATTCAAGCTAAATAAAATAAATGTTCAAACAGTTGTAGTATATAATATAATGGTTCGTTTTCCATAGGATATTATAAAAGTTTAAATCAAAATTGAAAAAATGCATTATTACAAAAAATGTATACAACCTAACGACTGGTGAATAACAAATAAAGCTCAACTACGTAACCATTAATTTTTCAGTACTTTCGTAATAATGTATAAATATATTTTTAATCGCGTATAAGAATATATAATAATAAACATGGTTGTTTTATGTACAAATAAGAATATCACGGGATAGGGTTGAGGTTTTCGACTTGTTTACTCAGTTAAGATTATGAATAAATATGATGGTGAGAGGGAGGATTGTTAACAAACCAACCTTCTGGTAATAATAGTTTATTTTAAAAAGAAAGATAATTATTTCTCCTTGTTGCGGAAAGAACGGAGAGCCAAGAGTGTAATGGACCAGATGTCTTTCTGCCTCTTTCTCTCTCGCTTTAAAATAAAAAATGAAAAAGAATAATTGTTTTCGATGCGTATGAGGGTGTATATAAAAGCGTTTTTCCAAATATATATAGTCCTCAAACATGTTTCATCATCGTCATCACCGTCGCCGTCGTCTTATTACATATATGTTTACATTACCTATTAAAATACCCACTGTGTTGGCTTAATAACACATTATATTTTTTAAAACGAACTTATCGGTGGAGGCAACAGTAGGTGCATATTATATGAAAACGATGATAGAAGTAAATAAATAATTACTACTGAGTGTTGTATAAGTGAAAAGACGACGGGTAGATATACACCACCACGCAGGGTAGGTTCACGTACTGTGTCGGTAGGGTAATATTAGAGGAAAGATGAATACCGCGTACAGTACTGTGGACTGATAATGTTTGCATACACGCCGCGTCGACCAATATATAATATTGTATAATATTGTGTATATATATATAGGCATTTGCAAGTAACTCCGTACAAAGACGAGTGTTGTAGGGGGTACCTACTAACCCCCGTTGCTTTTGTATTATTCAATGTACAAAAACAGTAAAATGAATAACCGTAAAAGGTTATATCCAGATTGTAAAATATGATGATAAACTCTGGTGCTGGGTCTAATGGTTATAATTTACGCGAACCTGTACAAAGGTAGAGTCAACTACTGTTTACTGTTACCACCTATGTTATTATTAATATTTTTCTTTAAACGTGATAAATAACATAGTAGTACTTGCTAACTACTTCAAAAATCGGGGTATGTATATGCCAAAACTTTACTCCTGGAACGATCCTCTAGGAGGACAAGCTGCTTACCTAATGGTAAATAGAAACAATTTAATAAATTAATCGGAAAAATATTCATTTTTGAAACCGGGCTAAATTTCAATGTGTTCTCATTCATTTTTTAAAAAATTTTCTTGATCCTATATATTTTTTATTTTATTTTTATTTGAATATTTAAACAGGCATACTCAGTTACAATTATGAACTTACGTGTATAACTTAAAATAATATATTGTTATTCCAGTTTCTGTGAGAAAAAAAATACTTTATATATATATATATTAAAAATATATGCTTTTTATGATTAGATTTTGAACTCGCACCATTCCGGTAACGATATATTTTTAATCCTCAAGTAATTATTCTCGTTTTAAATAAAAATTATAAATTATAGAAGATTCAAACCTTATCTCGAATAGAATAAAAAAATAATTGGTGATCTAATAAAACTATTGTGCATGCCTAAAGACTTTCCTCAACGTGTTTTTCTATCATCTTCAATGGCAGTCTACAAACCTTTTCACTCATAATTTTTCTACACGTATGTATCAAATTACCCAAGTAAATCAGAATTAATGGCGGACAGTTTTTGGTACAATAAATTACATGGTTCAAGGCATTTTTAAAGAGTTTTAGTTCATTCGTGTGTTATTTGTCATGGTATTTGTTGACGTTTTTAGGACATTGAAAATCTAGCCCTACGTCCTATTACATACCACAATATATAATATGTGGTAGAAACCAAACCATACACATACTGACCTCCATATACGCGACAACGAACTCTCACATCTGACCCTTCAACATAAGGTCCCACGACCGTTGTGGTAGTTGTAGTTTCTGACCCTCGATTATTTTCACTATTAACACTATCGCCGTCTTGCCGTCGTAATAGCTGTCGACCCGTAGCCAAGTCCATAATTTCCATACGATCCGGTGGAACTGTAACACAATATGATATGCATAGATTTAGTCAAAGGTAAAGTACTATATTACATCAGTTAGACATGGTGTCAAAATTGCATGATTTTATATTATTATTATTTTTTTTTTATATATAAATAAAAAATGTTCAATAAAAACGTCTAATAAATTTTTTCACGAGTATAACATATTTATACAATCAACAATAATGTACGAGTATAGCAATAGTATATTACACTCATAATATGATAGTACCTATAATATTTTATTCTAAATAAATCCCTATGTAGCTAAAATGTAAATAATAGTGTTCTCTCATAGCTTTCTCACTGAACATGTTGTATGCCATCAACAATATACGAGTATCAAATAATTCACCTAATGAAAGCAGAAAAAAACGAAATGTAATTCATATTATCATTTTGGTTTTCAATTAAAAATAATTCAATGCTATAAATAGTCTTCAACTAATATATTTTGTCAGGTCTTTCAAAAATAAAATTTGTTAATTTATAAAACTGTCTTACACCATTAAATTCTTTAGCTATGTTATAATGCTTCTGGAAAAACTTCATTCGCATGTGATGAATTCAATTGATATATTAGCTGTAATTTATTTTAATATCCCCAGAGTTATTATAATTGTACTTGATAAATTTTACGTTCGTTAAAACCATAATTTCGAATAAAGACTTTTGGGCATTGATATTGGAAGCAAGTGAATTGAAAGCCTGGATTCTGATGATGTCTACCGTGGAATTAATCGTGTTTATATCAAACTTGTTACTTTTTTAGGCAGATTAATCTCCCTTGAGTCCCTTGATGTCAATCTTAGGATTCAACAGTTATATTAATAAGTAGATAATGTGTTTAACGCCTGATGAATATCAAATTATCAATTCATACCCGTAACTCCGTTTCCATAAATCGATTTCGTACTATAAATATATTATTTATTATTTATGTCGTTTCTATTACATATATATATAGAAAGAGAAAGAGAAAAAAGTCCGTAATTTATCATCTATTCGAGGGTTTTCTTTTTACGTATATATCCTGCAGTTCCTTCTACTGCCTCGATTGACTAAACAACAGTAATAAAATTAAAATAAAACTCTACGACTAAGAGAAGAGATATTTTGAATTCCGTTTACAAAACTTGAGGACTACTGTTATAACTTGCCGTACAAATTTGCCATTTCACCGCACTTCACCCTTCCTCAAAATCGTGTCCACTCCGATTACTACCCTAACTGTTGTATTATTGTTTTATTGCGACAGTTGACTCCATAGGTCGCAGGATCAGTAACGATTTACAAGGACAGATAAGTAAATCGTCTCCCGCCGGCAAATTCTCCTCTACCCTCTATTCTATCGTCGGGGCAATACCAATAAACGATACATACGCACACAAAGACGATTAATAATTTTGAAACTACCAATCGTGTCCGGTTACAGGGTTTAATAGTAACAGACGTGCCTAGGGTACCAAACGAGACGATTGCAGCGGTGCACACTACTATATTGGTATGGTAGTTTAGTAATTATTTTTGTACGTGTGGGGGCTGGCATTTTAACACGGTGTTCATTACCACATTGTCACAATATAGGTAATCGTTTTACTAGCGAAAATGAGTTTTACCTATACGACGACAACAACGATGATAATAAAATTATAATATGTATATGTTTAAACATATATTTTATAAGTGTAATGTTGCGCATATGTCTATTAGGTTTTTAAATATTTCGGACAGATATAATTATATTAAGTTTAACAGTATTTAAAAGAAAGAAAAAATCCGTATTGTAAAAAAAAAATATCTTTTAAACTTAAGTACGGTGTACACTTTTTTTTTTTCATTTATTTAATTTAAAATGCTTCAGTGCATTATGTTCTATTACAATTACAATAAATTAACTTATTTTTAAATTTATATAGCGATAATAATGTGTACACTTTTACCTAAAACAAATTCTTGTAATTTCGTTAAAACAACTTTACATAACGAGTAATTTGAAAATTAAAATAAATATAAGTATTGTAAGCGAAATAATAAATAATATTTAGACTAATAATGAGCAGGCAATGCATAGCAGAGATTCCTAAAAACAAATTAACCATAGTAGAGTATTAAACTGAGCAAAATACGATGCCAATTACCAACACAACATCAGTTTACAATGAAATGAAATGTTGAAATATAAAAAACTGAGCATTTTTCGTACTCTCTAAATTGAACAGATCATCTTTTCGGTAGGAATCGTGGTGGCGGTTATGACAAGAGTGAGTATGTTGGAGGTATGATTTATTATATCCGACGCGACAGCAATTATTATCGCTCTGCGTGTTTCAAAAAATGATTTCTCACGACATTGTTGTTGTTGCTCGTACCAATTATACAGAGAAAATAATTGCGAATTTTTTATTGGAAATTATATAAAAGTTATGAAGTGCCAATGTATACATGCATTTAAGAGAACGAGAAAGTTTTTCGGTTTTTTGTCAACCAGTCGATTATATTATGTACGCGAACAATTGAAATCTGTTCATTTATGTATTATTGTTTTAGTTGTAAATTATCTACGCCACCCGTTCCGTTGTAATAATTACAGCGTAATAACAACGGATGCAAAGGAATCGACGGATTCCACTGCATGACCACCGTTTCGATTCATAACCATCGTCTCCTCTTCTGTGACATCCCTCAACGCTTTGCAATAACCTTTTCACCCTTTCGACCGCTACCCCCTATTCACGCCCGACCGCTGTTCACAACCAGGACTCGCACTCTTTTCCCGCCAACTTCGCGGCCGTCCCATTCAGCGTTTCTCTTGAAATCACTTTCCGTCATCAATGACCGCGCGCAAACAACAGAGGAAAATAATAATAATAATAATAATAACAACAACAACAACAACAACAACAACAACAACAACAACAACAACTATAACCATTCTATACCAACGCTACTCGAGAGCTTTTCATTTCACCCCGTCCTCCACCTCCTCCACATACTTTTCCTGCTCCTCCTCCTCCTTATCATCTTCCGCCACCACCACTACCATGTCGTCGTCGTCGTCGCGCACACCGTCGTCCACCTCTCGACAGCACTACCACAGCATCCCAATCCGGCCGCGTGTACCACCACTGCCATCGCCGCCGCCGCCGCTGCTACCGCCACCGGGTGCTGCCGCCCGAACAAGATCGATATAGCAGCGCGCAAGTACGCCACCCTCCGCGCCCACTACCGCCGCTTTCACTGCCACCGGTACACGTCGCCCACGCGCGGTCACCCAGCGCACACTGTCGTCAAATCCTGCCCGGACGCCCGTCCGTCCGTCCGCGTTCACACTTCCACCCCTCAGCCCGGTCACCCCGGGATGCCGTCCCCGCTGTCTAGAAAAACCCATTCACTCTGTCCACCATGACGCCGCTCATCCTCGCCAGGTCCACCGCCCACTGCGTACGACGAACGAGCGAGCGCGGTACACTTTCAACGGTGCCGGCTAGCGACGAAAACGACATGTCACCGACACTGTCACATGTCGTCGGCTTCGTTCTCGTTGTCTTGGCGTTCGACGAGACTTATCCGATTCGGCCCGTGTGCCGACGTGGCATTTTTTGCTCGTCACGTGCGCCTGTTTCTTGTGCGTGCGCGGTGGCACAACTGCCGTCGCCCGCTTGCAAACGCTTACGGCGATCTTTCTTCTGTCCCGCCCACGCCACCGTCGCTACCGTCGTGTTTAGAACGCGCGCCGAAAAACCAAGCAACAACCCAAGCAGAAGCAAACCCATCCACGTATTACGTAATTCGGGTAAAGCATCGTTCCCAACTGCTCGCCCCCGTGTATCCCCGGAATCGAGTCGACCCACCCGCGATCTCCTGCGCAACCCATATCGTCGACTACGGCCATTATTACTTATTAGTGCAACACCACCACCGCCACACCGTTTTCCGTCTGTATTTGTATACAATATATTATTTCTTTTCGTATAATGCTTACTTGTTTCCACACACACACACACACACAAACACAACTCAAATAAATTGTAATATTTTATTTAACACACGCAGATATACCGATAAATAAGCGGTATACCTGGCTCTCGACTCCCTAAACTTAATCATATTAATAATGGAAATGTCTAAAGAGCTCTTTGGGCGAAATCCTTGACAGCGTTTTGCGTGGCATTAAATTAATTATAACAAATTACATTATTTTTCAATCATCGTAATTTGATTTATGAAACTTTTAAAATGTAATTAATACCGCGAAAGTAATTTATTTATATTGTTATCATAAACCGAAATTACACTCTTAAACACGATAGTTTATGTATGCGGAATCGCTATTTGTGTATATAATATAATAATAATATAATAAGAGTAAACGACCGACTGTTGTTGATTCGTATTTATATACATGTCATTTATTTATACATGGCTGTGCAGTGACGGCGTCAAAAAGTTAATCGCAATAATATATTATAATGTGTTATCAACACTACTGTTGTTCGTAGTTTTATGAATATTATCGTAATAATTAGCGTAATAGCCTCCTGCTGACTACAGCGGCGTACAAACAAAACGACCGTTTCTGTTATTCTGTACAAAGCGGGAAAACATATTAAACATTTCAATAAAGAATGGAGATAAAGCCTCTGCGTAACGCTTATTATAATTTATGCTAAACGATAATAAGGGGCTTACATTGCGAAACCTCTGAAATGCAAGTCGTCGAATATGTATTATAATAACGTGCAATGTAGAGTTTTCAGATGTTCAACGATCACAATGTATTGGTTTTATAAAGATTTATTTTATTATTATTATTTTATGTGAGTACCCGTTTTTTTTCCGTGGAAGGAATACTCCAAGTATCCGGCTGCCCTATCAATCGATTGGAAATTTAACACAGTTGGTACTTCACGGAAAGGTCATTTCTCTGTGCTTACAAAATTGTAAAACGCTATCGAAAAATAATGAGAAAACTGCAGTAGAATTTATGTTACATCTGTTTAAAACAAAATATAATAATTTATTTTCTGTGCATATGGATTTTTGTTATTTTCGCATGAGATGTTTTTTCTACCACACCAGTCATTATTATTTTTTCTATTTTTTTCTTTTCAACTATAATAATAATATAATTATTTGGAAAATTAATTGACCTTTTATGGTTAAATATTATCAAATAATTTAGAAGAAACTTTTTCTTTTTTTTTAAAAAAAAATATATAATTTATAACATTATGTTATTCTTCATAGTTAAATTGTAAACATAAAATTAGGTATTGGCTTCCAAAAGTTTTAATATTTAGAAATTGAATTATGACGTAATCGGATACTTCCAGGAATCATGATGGTATATTTCATGATAAAATATGTAGTTTGGAGTTTTAAGATTTGAAATTTTACTAAAAGATTGATTCGACTATTCGACTACATATATTCTAACTATGACTAAAATATTTTAAAAGTCTTGACTAATAATTATTTTTTATGAGCACTTAAAATGTGTAAGTGCATTTAGTACACTCAGATTCTTTCAGAACCGTTACTAGCGTATGATGATTTATTATTGCTTTCAAATTTAAAGATACTCGACCCGAAATGGTCCACGCCACCATTAATATCAACATTTTTATAGTATTTTTTTGTTTTTATTTTTTGTCTAAATGTGTTTGTTCAATCAAAATGTATCCAATTTTATTTTATCAATTATACATACAATTATTAAATTTTGAAATAAAATATTTATAAATACCAATTGAAATTTAATAGTCTACAAATCGACATTGAGTTTTAAAATTTGAAAAATTTACCGATATATGTAACTTAATTAATCAAACATACCATATAAATTGATGATTTCTTTTTTTTTTTACGAAATAAAATTTTTCCATTTTCAAAGCAGTGTAATAAATGCATCCAAAAATTTAAAAATTAAATAGAAAAAACATTTTTTTTGTATTTATAGAACTAAATATTTATTGGCTTAAATCTATAGTAAAAGTTGTTGAATTCTTGGTAAAATGAAAAAATCAAAGTCTGTGAAATTTACTTTTGTGCGCATTTTCCAATATAACATAAACTTTCTTTTGACAAATATTTTAAAGTTTCCCATCTAAGAAACACTAATTGTATATTTTTGCTTTCAAATAACTGACACTTCTCTGTAGCTACCTAGTGATTCCCCGTTAATTGTTTGTTAATACATGTTATAATGCATATTTTAAATATGATGAATTCATTTCTTAAAAATTATATGCTCTATGAACTACTTATAAAAAGGTATCATTTAAAGATGCTAAATATTTAATAACTAAAATTGTATTAACTTACCGACTACGGTTAGATTCACTTTAGAATTTCGAGTCTGAGCCAATCTGAAATCAACTCGACAGCGATACAGGTGAATAGAATCTTTTACACTAACTCGGTCAATGCGTAATTCTGATGAATAATATGTCGACACAATTGATTTCTTTTGACTGTTCACTTTAGATTTCAGCTCTCCTTCAGTTGTATCTCCATTAACATGAAAATGTGCTCTATCACCAAATATTCGTTGGTCTGACCATCTTTCTGCCCCTGTTGTCATCAAATGATACGACGTGGAGTCATATTGCTGATGAGTGGGCGTGGCAGAAGACCTGGCATCCACACTGGAAAAAAAAATACGAAAATGTTAATTACTATAAAATTTGTTAAAATTTCTTTTAGAAACTAAAATAAAAATACTTATTCAGCATTTATATATATCACTTTGCTCACCTTAATATTAGGTTATAAGTAGGAAAAAATTATATAAGTAAGAGTTTGCTAAATATATTAAGTAGATACGTATTAAAATTTCAAGCCTCCAAAACTAAAACTGCAAATATTATAAGATATAGATTTAAAAATATACCATGATTTTTATTTCACCTAAAATTACCAGTAATTTAAATTTAGTTGTATTCAAAATAAAAAGTTTTACATTCAAACGTCAAGCCTGTTTATTTCTCTTTTTATAGGTATTAGATATTATATATATATAACAGTTACCTAATAACTAACTGTGTACAAAATATCAAAATTTATTCCACAACATTTCATAATAAGATAGTAAACGAGTATATCTACAAATAAATAAAAATAGAATTTCTGTTATTTTTTATTACGTTTTCCTTCACTATTTCATTTTTGATATTTTTCATAAATATGTTACAAACGATGAAAATCTTGCAATTCCGTACATCCTATGGCTAATTTCATATAAAAATATGGCTCATGAAACTTTTGGAAATTTTTTCCAGTCTTATGGTTGTAAAAAGTATTTTCCAAAACAACAAGAAAAATACATCCCTGTACTCGTAAAGTCAATAAAGCAATCTTAAAATACTGTTCGTTTAAAAAACAGCCATAAAAAAGATATACGCTTTACCACGTTTTACCCCTGTAAACTCTACAAGAAGACAGTTTTGTTATTTTAAAATATGGAATAAACGAACTTGACATTTCTAACTAGCGTATCATAATATCAAATATGTATCTTTCACTGTTATTTTCATTGATAGTTTCAGCATAGTTTTCTTTAATCATGTTATAAATATCTAAGTGAGATTTCAATTTTGATACATTTTCTGAGAATAAGTTATTGATATTATAAACTGTACATGTTGCAGTTACATTCAACTTGTCAAAGATTGTTCGAGTAAGTGACGTTTTATTATACTGATGTACAAAATAAAATTAAAATAAAATGTTTTACAAGATTAAAAACTAATGTAGTATATAATAGTTCAATGTTATCGAAGTTTATTTTAAGTTGGTGGGCGTAATCTGAAGTTGCAGAAATCTATACTTATTTTCAAACCAAACTTGTAGAGCGCTACGCCCTAACCACTCTATCATTAGCAACCACTATTTAGTTACAGCCACATATATATATATAATTAATTTTAATTTTTTCATTATAATTAAAATTTCTTCAATTAAGTATATTTTAACTAATTGAAAACATTGTAATTATTATAATTATTATAAATTATTAAATAAAACAAAATAATACAAATAACGTCAGCATATTATTCTAGTTAGTAGGTGGATTAAAAAAAAATAAAAGAAAAAAAAATGAATTGGGTAACAACGAAGGGATGGAGAAATTGAGTTCATTAATGATGAATTTCAACAGAGAAAATATGACAAATCAAATATTTACAATCACATCAAGGGAGTACTTATTATTCAACAAAGAAAGATGGCAATTGCCTACTTAAAATGCAGTAGTTCAACGTCACTAGAATCCTGAATAATTTTATATAGATCAGCTTCACGCTTATAAAATGCTGAAGAAATTAAGACTTTGAAGTCAAATTGAATCTGTGGGATCTAAAAATAAATTTAACGTACTTCCATGACGTAACTTAGTCAAGGGTCCTTCAAACATAGACTAGTTTATTTCAATCTATAAGCTAATGAATCTAATTTATTTGACCTAGTTTATTTATTATACTCTATTTGAAAAGTATTTACTTAAAGTATTTATTTAAATAACAACTTGATCAACTGTCGTATAAAATTAACATACGAAAGATAAATATACTGTGGATTAAACGAAAAATTAAATTGTTTTAATATTTATACTTGGATATTAAAATTAAATTAGGATTTATAATTAATAATATATTCACTATATAAGGAACACAAGGATGATAGTTGAAACTGTAATATTAATATTACTCAATAAATAAAGAAAAAATATTAAAAATTTTTAATTATAAAAAAAATTTGAACTTCAAGTGAAATAATTATAATGATTATAATTTAAAGCTGTTATGTAATATTTTTCATGCAAAGTTATCTTCCCACATAAATTAGTTAACATTTTTAAATATTAATACATTTTGAATATTATAATTGAAAATAATATTAAAGATGTGTATTGATTTTATTATACCTGTAAATTGGTGTTCCCAGGTCATCGCGATACCATAAAACCAGAAGAACAGCGTCACGTAAGTTTGCCCCAGATGCAAGCGAGCTTTCTCCGTCAAGGGGAGGAGAATCAACTCCTGAGTCTGATAAATCATCCTCCTCGTCCGACACCAATGAAATATCACAAGGCAAACGAGCCTGCTGGCCCGCTACTGCTCTTACGTGGTATACTGGTACTAAATAAAACATAAGGGTAATTATAAAACAATAATCGTTGTGACATTTTATGTCAACACATTAATTATAATAACTAAATTAAACCATTGAAAACGATTGTTAAATACTGAAAAGTACTCTAAAATTAAACATTTTATATCAAATACGAACAATCGAATAGTATATAAAATACAGAATCCTTCAAATTCAATGCTACAATACTCGATTATTCCGTTACGTTTGTTATGTTAAATTTGAATGACTCAGTGTGTATAAAACTTCGTTTAATGTCAAGTCAGAGGGAAACCATTAACGCCAACGGCCTGACCCCAGAGAAGTCTGGTTTAGCTTAAAATAATTTTAAAATTACTGTTATGTCACTATACAATATTAGTTATTCAACTGTTTTTGAAATTACAGTTCAACATTTGCTTCTATTTTTTCAAACAACACTAAGACTATAATTGGATTTGCTAATAAGTAATAAGAAATGTAAGTGGCCCGAACGAGCAGTAAAAATTTAAGACATTTTGTAAAAGGCCAAAATGTACCTACTAAACATAACAAATATTTTATAGTTGCGTACACAGGATAATACACCATTTTCAAAATTAATTCTTTACTATACAGTTTCATTATATAAATAATTAATATTATTCGCTATCCAGTTAATTGCCAATCAACGAAAGAACTTAGGAATTTTTAAACAATAGATCAATTTCTTAGAAAATTTTTTATTGTTTTACAGCATTTCTTTATTTAAAAAAAATATAAGCCCGTACATAGTATACATTTCTTGATATCATATTTTTTTTTCATAGATGCTTTACTTATAATATTATTAAAATTTATATAATTTTGGAAATATAAACAAAATGTTGAAAATGTTGAGTGCTAGTAACCTTAACAATCTGGTACTAATGTACATATATTTAATCATTTTAATACTAACAAAGTGAAGAAAAATTAACAAGATATATTTAGAGTACATGTTTACCGCTTCAAAACTCAAATAAGATACTGCAGATGATGAGTGAAAAGAAAAAAAAGGCATAATCGTGAATTTTTTGTAAGTCACTACGATGGATGTATTACAGATGAACTATTTATATGCATTTGAAAACAATGATGAATCATCCTATTCACACATCAATTCTGAACAAAAGTTAGAGAATAATATAAATATAATATAGGTATATAATGTAATCATAAATTCCTTAACATTCCGTATTTTGTGGAAAAAATATTTTTATATTTATACGTTAAAACTACGAGTTAATTAAAATATACGAGTATAATTAGATACTTATTTTCATCAAAAAAAGAATTAACAAAAAGCACCTTTGATTGAAAATAAAATGTTAATTATCATTTTTGATATTTTTTTAATTATTCTTATGATAGTACTTGTGTAGTATATGAATTATGAATGAACCTACATTGAATTTGTGTAGCAACAAAAAGAAAATTACATATTTTATCAAAAGAGCAATAAACTTAACAACTACGCTCCTTTGATGAAATTTAACATTTTTCGAAGTTATTATTAAAGTACTCGGCTCAAAGTGCCTTATCTGTGTTTAATTTTCATCCAATAGGATACCTACTACATGATATTTCGTGCAATTATATTTATACAAAAAAGTATTTACAGAAAATAAAAACAATCATTGTAAAATTATTAAATTCCTTTATTACTGTGGGATCTCTAATTTGTATTTTACAAATCGTAAAAATAAATAAACTGTACAAGATTTTATAATAAATTCCCTGTTTATAACTAATAAGTGAAATAATATAGTTAAAAAATCTACTAAATTAAGATTTTATCATGATTTTAAGTGAAGGAGTAAAAGTTTTGATGGCCGTACGATGACGTATTATATAATATTTTCATCTCATTTTATTTTAAATAAAAATACATTTATTTTATATCCTCTGCAAGTATAATCAGAAGTTCAAAAATTCCATTTAGATTTTATTTTAGTATCTACATAATAATGTATAAATAAAAAAAAAAACGGTTTATTTTAAAAACAACGTTTGATTTGGTTAATTATAGTTTATACCTCGGTTTATATAAACTAAAATGTAAATTCAAAAACGTTTTTTAACAAACGGTGTTACATTACTTTCAAATTTAATTATAACAACATTAATTTTAATATATGTTCACTATAGAGAATCGCCCATGGTCACCATAACGATGCGCGTCTAGATATTTTTATATAAAATACGTTAACGAATAAATTTGATATTATTAAATTTTTCAACTACAAACAAAAAACAAACAGCGTGGTTTTTCTACTATAATCGCTCAATGAGTTTATATATTTGCATCTTTATGAAAACAAAATAATATTAGTTCACATTCTGTGCACGTCTTTGAATTTAAAAACGCTTGAATTTTATTGATGATTAAATATTTAAATCATCACCCCGTAGTGTTTAATATTATTCATTTGAAATCAAATTTTGTAGCCGTTTGGTTTACGTATACCTACTCTATTTTTAACCTCGCAGCAGATAAATTTGTACTAACATTCTATGGATGGTATTATATAATTAAATGCACTTGTTTTTTACAGAAATACTTCAAACATAATTCTATTGTTTATAATCTTTTTTTTATTTTTTTGTTCTAATGTAAATATGCATATATATAAACATAATTTTAAAAAAAATATCCCTCTCATTCCTATCTCTCGGATAGAAACAGAACAAAAACTCACAAACTCAACCGTTTTAAAAAAAAAAAAAAGGAGTAGCTATAACAGCGACAGAGTAGGGGCGACAAACGGAAAGCCTGACCGGACGCCCGAAGCCCGTTTGCCTGTATCAAGCTAGATGATTTACCGACCCTTTTACCCAAGACGTACGCTTCCAGCGAGAAAAATAACATTACTAAATAAGATGGATATAAAACGCTTTGAGAACGCTTACTTCTTCCCTTTTTTTTATACGTTCTTCTTTTTAGGAGTTATATTCATTTCGATCCTCTAAGTCCGGTGTCGACCGGTCGATAGAACTTAATTCGGTTAAACATAAATTAAGGCGATAATTGTCGCCAATGTTGTTAAGCTACCACTCGAAGGCGACGCTTTAATTTTTAGCAAAAACATTTACATCCTTACTATAATATATACTTGCACGATTTAATCCGCATAAACACATAAATGTATTTAAACAGATATTATTATTTTTTTTTAATATATTTTATCCTAATTAATAGTTTGAAATTCTGTATAATCTAGATGGAAAAAGTTTTTTATTAAAACCTAAGTGCAATCCGAATAAAGTCAGAATAATACAATGTATGTATATATATATATATATTTTTTTTTTTAACTTTACTTTATTTATCTATTAGTTTTTATTTTTAATATTACGTGGGTCTTGTTATATATGCACATCATACTCATTATAACCCATCAAAATAATAAAATCATCTTAAAATAATCAAATAATCTTAAAAATACAAAAATATCAACTGGTATAAATTGTTATGAAATTTATTTTAGCCCCGAGTGACGTGAAAATATAGACGGGTTTATTTATTTATGATTATTTAATTTGTTTTTTTTATAACCGCTATGTTTTGAAGCAGGTATGCACTGATTAATATATTACTAGATCATTCGAGAGTTCAGAAATGATCAAGTCCCTCAAGTCCCAACAATATAATTTTTATACTAAAAACGTGAATGACAAAATTAATTTCCGTTTGTTATCTGTACATACAATTTACTATAGACCAGTGGCGTATTTATTGGGGGGATTCCACCTCCCCTCCCAAACAAATATTTGAAAATGTCAAATTTGAAACATATCAGTAATATAATAATTTTAGTTTGTTCACTCAATAAAGTATTAAAGTATAATGAATATATATATATATATATATAAATATTAATATCACTAATAATTAAATTGTAATCGGAAAATAATAATAACAATCGACCGCACGGTACTCACACACACATGGTATATAAAAAATCTGATGTGGGGAAATTATCGGTCAATAAGAATATCAATATCTTAGTCCATGACTATCACGTCTTGTCAGTTGTCAGTATGCAGTATTCATCTATGCTAGGGTGACCTGACGTCCCGTTTAAAATGGGATTGTCTCTTTTTTGATCATCACGTCCCATTGTACCAAAAAACTTCGAATGGGACGTTTATTATCCCGTTTTTAGAAGATTGTCCCGTTTTAATGCCGTTATTGTCATATTATTTATTATATAAGTTATAAATGCTTGTAAATAAAACAGTTTTACTCGTATATTTTAAATGTGAAACCAAAGTTAGAAATAATAAATAAAAATTTTCGTGGAACGAGCGTCAAGTCCCGATGCCAACGAACTATGAAATTACCTATTTAATAATTGAATATTAATTAAAAGAAAATATTTTATTACTTAGGTTATTTTACTAAAAAAAGGGTAAAGTAAAAAGAAAATAATTTTTCATGATATGATAGAAATTTGGACTTTAACTCTCGAGATTTGTGTGCATATGTGTGAATGTATATGGATAAGATTTTTTATTTGGGGGGAAGTAACAGCTGTCCTGTTTTTTTTTATTTTCTTAATATGGTCACCCTAATATATGCGCAACATAAAGTAATATAAAATATGATCAAAACGATCATAAAATTATTTCACTATTAGGTATGACACCCCCCCCCTCAAAAAAAAAGTTTCTAAATACGCCACTGCTATAGACATAATGTAATATACATATTTTATTTTGTTTATACAATCCTCCTAAATAGCCCAACGTTGCCAATATATGTTAAATGTATATAATGTTTTTTTTAATGTTTTATTTATTCATTAAACTACTACAATAAATAAAAATTAGCAGTTTATGTTTGTTTGTTTTTTTTTTTTTTTTTTTTGAATAATTTAAACTCATTTTTCAAATGATAGAACATGAAGGGCTACGGAAAAAAAACGATAATAGTCAAAAAAAGAAAAAAATCATCTGATAATTTTGCCTTCTTGTAATTTATTTTAAAAAGCAAATTTAAATTTTTTCTTATTAGTTTTATCGACATTTAGTTGTATTATCAAAATGATATATTTTTAATTATTAAAATACTTTATCTCTTAGTTTTCTGAATTCTTAGACTTTAAAACTGTAACTAATAAGCAGTTTAAGAGTATTAACTATTTTTACTTTTTTCCCGTAGCCTTTCATATTTCAATAATAAACAAAAAAGTACGGTAATGGACGCCTGAATATCCGACGGGAATCGAGTTTTTAAATAATAAATCACAAAAATCATAATTATAAAATAATAATATAATTATCAAGTTGTGTTTGGGTGTTTTTCGTTTGAATAATACACACAACGTATTAAACATCAAATTGCGACTAGTATGAAAGACTTTTGGTATCCGCGTGTAATTAACACCTCCCCTTTAGAATATAGATACCACTTATAAGGGTCTCGATGATTAAAAAAAAAAAAAGAAAAAAAAAAGACCGCAGTTTGAATATTTTCAGAAACTGGAGATAAAAACTCGTTAAAAATAATACCAGAGATAGAGAAAATAAAATGATAACTCCAAAATGTTATGTGTAAAAGTCATGAATGTTTTGTTCGTTGGGTAAGCATTATACTTCGAGAGGAATTTTACTATCATAAAGGAAAATATGATAATTTGTTGAACAAAAACAAGGTACTGATTACAGAGATTTGAAGTTAGAAAATCACTACCTTGATTTAATTATCTTATCAAATATTTTATTAGTATTATTTATTTGTAAAAAAACGTCATATCATGACAGTTGATAAACATTTTTGAACGTTCAACAGAGTATTAATTATTCTAGGATATCAAAATATTATTAAAACAGGATTTTTAAAATTATTATACGATATGTAAATAATGAAAAATGTATTGTATAAATGAGTATTGAAACTGAAGTTGAAATATTTCATTTTTATAATAAACAAATTTTGAAATATTAAAATTGATTACATAGTTTATAAACTCGTTAAGTCATGTCAATAAAATAATAAAATACAAAATTAATTAATAAATGCTAAATACTTTAGAGTAAGCAAAATTTTACAAAATACCAACAGCTACTGTGACATTTTAAAAACTATTTCACCGAGAGTTAAAAATACAACACACACACCTTGAATGCCCGAACATTTCTGAAAGTTCTATCGACTGAAAATGTGGATCAGCGATCACGACAAAACAAATAAATGATAATATTAATAGAATAAATAAATGGCATAATTGTAAAACTATTCATTACGTTCAAAGTCTATAAAATGATTACAGCTTATCCATTAGAGCTCATTCGGTTATGTAATACATATTTGTCATCAAAATTATAAAATATGGATTTTCATTTTGTTTACCCCCGAGTCATTAATTTCCATTATTAACTTTAAACTATAAATGTTTTATTAGTTTTTCAGTAATTATTATTTTAAATCTTAAGTTAAAAGTTAAACTTGATTTAATAACGAAACGCTACTACTCTTCGAGTAGAACTCATATTTGGTAAACGCAATTTATTCAGGCCGTTTGTTCCATTTTGTAGGCTATATATACAAATGGAGGAAGAGGGATGACGAAAAGCGACTGGAGTCACCCAAAAATGATTTATATTCTGAATACGAAAAGGTATACTGTTCACAAGCATTGAACGAAATTTTTCTTTTAAAAATAAATCATAAACACGAAAAGTGATGAGGGTAAAGATGAGCAATCGCGGGTTTACCATTTCGTACCTACTGTTAAATCATTATTATTACGTCTTGCTATCACTATAAAGCATTAAATCAACGATTGTGTAGTAATAATTGTGCCGCTCTACTATTGTTTTCCATCGGAATCGAGTGTAAGTAGGCAATCAGAGCGTGCCGCTATACAACTTTTATAAATTCTATTGGCCAACGTCGACGATAAATGATCTCACGTCATATTCTATTGTTCATAATATATTTATGATGGTTATTATGTGATGACAAAACGTCATCGTGACTGAGCGTTATCGATTACAATAAACGGTGGTCGGAAGCATCGAGTCACACCATTCTGTCTGTTTTGAAGTCTCGACGCACCGTTTCCGTTATTAATAATCTCAGAGGTAGCCAAATATCATCTAAAAACGCTGCAGTACCAACAGCTAGATTAGCTACCGGCACTCCAGTGTTCCAACGTAATAGGCGACCCGGGGAATTATCGCCGCGTCCACATCTAGTGGATACAAACGACGGTCAAAGGACCCGGAGCCTGTCAAACTTCGAAATCGCGTCGGCGGCGACGTTTATACGGAAAATGTTTTCGGCCGTACAACAACGTCTCAAAGTCCCGCCGACACGTCCGCGTGACTCCGGTGGCATTCCGGCATCACATTAACACGGTGCCGCGCATTGTTCACCGCGTTCGCACGGAAAACGTGCACAGGAACTTGCGCGCCAGCCGCTCGTTATTGTTATCATTAATCCTACTGTTATTGCAATCATTGTTTACCGTCTTTGGCGGAATGGGCGGCCCGGGCGAAGGACGCGATCACCACGACGGCCGCGTACAACACCAGCAGCCACCAGCAGCAGCTACTGGTCCACATGTGCAGGTGGTGCGTGTGATGATGGTGCCGCGGCCGGTGCGCCCGGTGCGCGTGGTAATGGTGGTGATTGTGATGTTGGTGTTGGTTCTGGTGGCCGCCATGGTGGTGCATCATGTGTTGGTGGCGATCGTCGTTCGGCTGCGGTAGCGTCGGCGGCGACGGCGGTGGTGATGCCAACGGTTTCGTGTGATCGCACGACCGCGGTACCGGCTCGTTCCACCGGTGACGGTCTTCGGGTGACGGGTCGCCGTCACCGTTGCCGTTCATCACCAAGACCCGTCGACGGACCGGATGGTAACCGTTCGCCGCCCCGTGCGACACCACCGTCGTCCCGTCGTCATCGCCGTGGAACGCAGACGTCCGCGCTCCGTATCCGCACCGGCCGCCGGAACATCTGTTCCGCGTCACCTCGGCGGCTGCGCGGTTGTCGACGAGCACCGGGCACGGTGCCGCGGTCAACAACATTTGGTCGTCGTTCGCTTCCGGTTATCGCTTGTTCTAACTACGACGGCGTACCTGCGCGGCAAACAAACAAACAGAAACGAATAAACGTCGGGGGTTCAACGTGCGGTCATGGGCGCAATTCGTGTTCTATTTCCAGAGGTACAATTAGACGCAACACGCGAGGCCCCCCGCACGCTCACCCTACGATCCCCCTTGCCTTCGGTCGAGCGCGCGTACACGCACACGCTTACAATTACACCGGTGGGTTCACATACTGAAAACCGCACATAAATCGGTCTCGAAAACTAATTATTGCTGACACTGTAGAAATAAAGCGATTAAAACCGTTGAATTGAATTAATGTTGAACGAAAGATTGAAAACGACCAGTCATTGTTAGCGTGAGCGCACGAGATCGTGTGTGTGTATGTGTGTGTGTGTGTGTGTGTGTGTGTGTGTAAAAGGTACAACAAAGGAAAATGTAAACCCAATGGAAGATATAACAAATGGCAGCGTGTGTGTGGAGTATTTAAGAACGTTGTCATTAAAAATGTTAAGTGTTACAAATTGCGCCTATGCTCTTATGGTCAAGTACGTGAAACAATTTCCACAAGTATTGCACTACATTAAACATCTATAACTATATCAGCACACATGTTTATTATACAAGTGTTTGGTGTACATGCTACGGTATTTTACGGTCCGTCGTCGTCGTCGTGCCGTATACGTATTGTTCGTCATATTCGGAAAAAGCGATATGCGATCGGGATTTAATTCCGTTTTAATACAACAGACGACGACGGGGTGAATTATATATTTATATATGGTATCCTGCTAGTATTCAATACGATATGCAGCGAGTGGGGGTGCGTACGGATGTATACTACCTTAAGCTATGCACTACAAACCCGGTAACGATGAGACACCCGTTTGACGATACCTTCGACAAGATCCATTAGATACAGAGCCGCCGCCGTTGCAACCACTCGTGCCAGCAACGATAATAATGATCGCCGTCCGACTTCAATGAGCCCGGGCGGCGAAGGAGTTGACCGCGTGCATGGCCACGGTTGGGGTGCCGTAAGCGTGTGTGTCTCCGCGGATCAGTGCGACTAAACTGCCCGGCCGGCGTGTTGCGTTGGCGATGTGATGACGCTCGGACCCGAGTCGTAACGAGCGCGTGGCCGTCCGTCGGTCTATCGGTTGCTGTGGCTTACGGCGGTCGCGTGACGCTGAGCGAACGTCGCGACGGATGATAACGCGTCGGTTCTGCCGGTACCGATACCGAGCGACGATCCCATCGCCGTGTCGCTGTTGCACGTATCACACCCGGTAGCCGTCCGGTCGGAACGGAGCGTGAAAACGCGGCAACCGCGGTCGGCTACGTATTCGATAAATACGCGACGACCGTCGGCCCTGCGAGAGTGGACGGACGTTACGTCGCACGGTGAAGTAACCGCGTCGAATACGTTGTCCGTTTCGCGTCGTCGCCGTCGGTCAACTACCACCAGCGCACGCCGGAGCCCTACGCCACGGATGCACCCTCCGCGGCTGAAGCTGCTGCTGCTGCTGCTGCTGGCGGCTACGAGGCTGTGGCGCGCCCTGCTTTCGGCGTGCCGGTGCCGCTTGCGCAAACCGCCGACCCCCGGCGTGTCGCGCGCGTCTCAAACGCCAGCAGTACGCCGCCGCCGTCCCTGCCACCGACCCGTGCCCACCGCCAACCCCTCCCTGACAACAACACGCGCCCGCCGCCCATGTACACATCCTACCCGCGGCGTCCTACGACGAGGGGCGGGTGGTAACGGCACAGCTTCTAATTCAACGGCAGCGGCGGCGGTGGCGGCCAAAGCAGCTGGGACCATCCTCTTCCTTACGCGCACACCTCGTCCGTCCCTCTCGTTCATCCCTCAACACTTTCGCCCATCTCTCGAACCACCCACTCACTCTCTCTTTCTCTCTCGCACGCACACACACATATTTTTTCTCGCTCGCGCACCCTCTCTTCTTCTCTCCCTCTCACAGTCCTTTCTCGTGCCCTTTCTCTCATACATATACCTTCTGCCACCGTTGCCGTCCATCCATCGTCATTATCCCATCTTCGTCGTATAGTTGAACACGTTCTCCTACCTTCCTCCTGCTCCCTCCCCCACCTAACCGTAAATACCGCCCGCTTCGTTATTACTACTACTCCGCTACCGTATCACGCGAATACGTACATACCGTCCAAAGTTATATTACATATACTCGGCCTTCTATTAACTACATTACAACGATAATATAATATGAATATAAACGTCGTTGTTCTCTTTCGCCCACTGTTACTGCTCTTACTGCTGCCACCGATGTTGTCGCTGCACCAGCGACATGGTTCTGTTGTACACGCTTGATTTATATACACACATGTACGGTTTATAGGTATACGTTCCCGAACCGCACCCTCGTCCGCGTGCGAACGTTCGCCACCAAACGACCGCTGACCGTTACGTAAATATTTATACGCGTGCTACCTATACTATGTACAGTGAGCGAAAACCTATACGTATAAGTTATCGGCTTGCCGTTGTCGATTTTTAACCAAAATCCAAACAACCGCTACCGTGCCGCGTCACTGCGAGGAATAATGTTTTAACGACGAAAGAAACCTTGAGCGTATTTTTTTTCGGTAAATTTATATATATATATATATATATATATATATATATAGATATGTATGTGTATATATTATATTTATTTATTTATTTTTCACGATGCCAAACAATAAAGAATTTCGGTACATATCATTCCGATCGAGTATAACGTAAAAAAAAGTTTCGGTTTTCAAAAGTCGAAAAGCATAAACGTTACGATTTATAGCGCGAGTACCGAAAAATATAAGAACAGTTTTTATATCAATCGTGAAATGAACATACATTCATAGAAATTCGTTGTTTTTTTTTTCTGTTTTAAAAACGTATACCATATACACAATGTTCTGACTATAAATATTTCAAAAATACATTACGATGATGCTTTTTTTTTTAATACTTATTTCAAGTTTGAAGTAATTAGTTATCAATATTTTTACCATCGACATTTTTACGTTTATTGCTAAAAATAATATGTTTTGTAACCATATATATATATATTGAATCCCGAAGTGAGTATAGCTCATATATAAATATATTTATATGTGTGTATACGTGTACGTGTACGTGTGTGTATGTGTGTCTGTATGTGTTTTATTGGAATCATATGAAATTTATTGCATGTGTATTATTTTATGAGGAGTTCAAACTACCAATGTACTTTGGTAATTTGTTAAAATACATTAACTTTGATGAACAAATACATCGTGCATTTGTTTTCACGTATAATATATACAAATTTACTTTATTTAGTATTTGCAGATTTATATTGACGTTATAATAAAATGCATATGATATGTGACAAAACACATACACGATGGTGATACAGTACTAATTAACCAACACTCTATTGCTTGAAATATGTCACAAAATAATAAAAAAGATATCAAATGTGTTTTATGTTTGTGTTATTCTGTTTATGAAATAAAATATAATTGAATTTTTTTTAAATTACATTACTCTTTATTTTTTAAATTGTTTTATAACTTCAAAACTTATTTAGCGATTTAAAACAGATTCAAACGCAGTACGTTAAAAAGTTGTTTTGTTATTCGATTTATATATAAACATTTTAAAACATTAGTGAAACATGATTTAGTACAGATGACTGTTAAATACATTCCTAGAAACTTAGAAATACTATGCATATATAACACATGTATGATTATATATTATGTAATGAAATTTAAAACTGAGAAATACCACAAAATTAGTGCTAAAATACTAATTAGTTATATAAAATAGAAGTAGAATGCATTGAAATGTTAATTTAAACCGTTGAAATTCTGACGCTCTCCATAAAAGCTGATAAAAATCCAATTATTTCAAAAATATATTAACCGGTATCAAATACGAGTATAAGGACTTTCAATTATTGCATGACAGCTAATTTTTCTTTGAAATATTATAATTAGAAAAATATTTATGTGAAAATGAAACAAATTATTAAAACATGATATATTTGCAGTTGTATAACTTTTTTTCAAATTAAAAAGTTTTAAGAAGTGCTTTTTAGAGATTAAATTAAAGGTAATTTGTACTATAAATCGTACCTGTACAATTAACTAAATAAATAATAAGAATAATATTTCATAATATTAATATATATATATATATATATATATATTGACATATTTGCATACAATAATATCCGGAAGTGACATTATTTGTTTATTTCTTATAAAAATTATGAAACTATTCCCGAATAAAACAAAACCATTGTTGCTACTTCAAAAATAATGTCATTATTTTTAATATATTATGACTAGGGTAAGGATTTTTATGACTTTTTCATGTATTTTTTTTAATTGTACACACTTCTGACCCAGTTATAAATTTGTTATGCAATATACAGGCTGCTGTACAAAATTTAATTTTTATATTTTGGGACTTAAGAGGTTTTGTAGAATTTTCATAGTATTATGATTATCAATGAATATATGTATCAATAAAAAATATATTTTCATCAAAATTCATAAAAAAAATCGATATTGAAAATATATAATATTGTGTGGATTAGTTTATACTTCAGAAAATGGTCGTTATAGTAATGTTATAAAAGAACTACATTCCTTAATAGGTTTAAGATTTTTATGTTCTACCTTTCGCAATAAATAAGGCATCTACAATTTTGAAGAATCATACATTTTAAGTGCCTATAAATAATACAAATTTTTTTAACATTTTATCAAAACTATAAAATATATTAAACTAATATCTTAGGATTTTTTTTACTTATATCATTTTATTAAAATTTAAATATGCATAAATTTTTTTTTTATCAAGCTTAATATTTTACCCTTAATCAGTTATATATATATTAAGAACATTTATATTAAATTTTCAAAACTTTTGTAAACAATTTTTTTTTTTTATCGACAGTTTCAAATATCTAAGAAATTATGAAAATTTCAATTTTCTATGAATAGCTCAAATAATATGTATAGCAAGTCGTAATACAATTGTTCAATACAAATTTCATGTCTTTACTATTATTATATTTTGAGTGATAAAGAAAAAACAATTTTATTATTCTAAAACCAATAAACTGTAAATTTTTCTGTATTTTTAAAACATTTCATCACTGTTTTGCGATTATTAAGAAAAAATTTGAAAATTCGTTTAATGACTTCAAAGTTAGACAAATTTTTTTATATATTTTTATATCAGAAATCTCTTATAATTGTAATGATCGGATTAACTTTTCTGATCAAAATTGACAATACAAACACACAAAAAAATTCACACGTTCACTATTTTTAGAACATATTTGCTTACATTTTTAATAGTTTTTTTGATTTATATACTATAGATTTAAGAATAATTCTAGTTTAATTATTACTCATTCCAACAAGGTATAGTAATCATTTTAATATCCAAATATAATATAAACGTATCTTGTACGAATCAAAAAAATTTGATTCGAAGTTTCTTATAAATATCGTGAAAAACAATTTACAATTTTTTTTTTTAAATTTTTATATGTATTATATTTCATTTTTATATTTTTTTTATCTATATTTTTTTATTATGTCAATTATTGGAAATAAACGGTTAATATAAAGTTTATGATAAAAAAATAAATATTGAAATTATGTTTAAAAATATCATAAATACAAACTTTCCAATGGACTACTCATTTAATTCCTTCGGTCATACTCAATACTTGAATACATGTACGGAGAAAAAATATTTAATTCTAAGTTTATTTAACTTGATTATTTTTTGATAAACAATGTAACCTCATATGTTAATTAATAATAATATTAATATATAAAAATAATTCACTGAAATAATAATTTAACTATAATAGTAATTGTACAATATAACCATATATTGTATTTACCAACTACCAATAACCGAATAAATTTTACTGGCATTTAATTCAACTGTTTAAAAAATTATGTTACATAGTTGATATAAGTAAAAATTAAAAATAAATAAAAACAAATATAATAACTTTATGGTTTTTAATTGTAATGTATACAAAAACTAATTATTTTAAACATTACTCATCTATTAACAGCTATATATAACTATATATATATATATATATTTTATTTTGTGTTTTCACCGTTGTTTACATACGTCTATCAAGGTTCTTTATTTAATTTATTACTTATAAATTGTATGTATTCAATTCTCCTACTGCATATGAAGCGATTAAACAACATAACAATGCCTGTATATTATCTGTATGTTCACAGACATGAGAAATAATTGATTTGATTAACTCGTAAATATTGAATAATCGAACATCAAGTATTTAGTTAATTAAAAATACCGACTTTCAAACAACGTATTTGGCAAGTGATATTCAATTTTTAATATCAAGCATTCATAAATATTTGTTTTGGGATATTCAATAAATTATAAATATTCTATATTATAAACAACATGATTTTTCTATATATCATTGTTATTTTAATATTAT